AATAACTTTAAAACACTTGAAATTTTGGAAAGTTTCCAGACATAATAAGGAGATGTGCTCAGGGAGAATGTAAACAAACTCGGTGGGCTGCTGTGACCGTGAGGGGAGCCGTATAGCGAGTTTTGGTCATAATTTGAAATGTCCGTATTAGCGGAACGCCGTAAAGCGGGGCCCTGCTGTATATATATATATAATATATATATATATATATATATATTATAGAGGAATAAGTTTACTGAGTATACCAGGAAAAGTATACGGTAGGGTTATAATTGAAAGAATTAGAGGTAAGACAGAATGTAGGATTGCAGATGAGCAAGGAGGCTTCAGAGTGGGTAGGGGATGTGTAGATCAAGTGTTTACATTGAAGCATATATGTGAACAGTATTTAGATAAAGGTAGGGAAGTTTTTATTGCATTTGTGGATTTAGAAAAGGCATATGATAGAGTGGATAGAGGAGCAATGTGGCAGATGTTGCAAGTATATGGAATAGGTGGTAAGTTAATAAATGCTGTAAAGAGCTTTTATGAGGATAGTGAGGCTCAGGTTAGGGTGTGTAGAAGAGAGGGAGAATACTTCCTGGTAAAAGTAGGTCTTAGACAGGGATGTGTAATGTTTACCATGGTTGTTTAATATATTTATAGATGGGGTTGTAAAAGAAGTAAATGCTAGGGTGTTCGGGAGAGGGGTTGTATTAAATTATGGGGAATCAAATTCAAAATGGGAATTGACACAGTTACTTTTTGCTGATGATACTGTGCTTATGGGAGATTCTAAAGAAAAATTGCAAAGGTTAGTGGATGAGTTTGAGAATGTGTGTAAAGGTAGAAAGTTGAAAGTGAACATAGAAAAGAGTAAGGTGATGAGGGTATCAAATGATTTAGATAAAGAAAAATTGGATATCAAATTGGGGAGGAGGAGTATGGAAGAAGTGAATGTTTTCAGATACTTGGGAGTTGACGTGTCGGCGGATGGATTTATGAAGGATGAGGTTAATCATAGAATTGATGAGGGAAAAAAGGTGAGTGGTGCGTTGAGGTATATGTGGAGTCAAAAAACGTTATCTATGGAGGCAAGAAGGGAATGTATGAAAGTATAGTATTACCAACACTCTTATATGGATGTGAAGCTTGGGTGGTAAATGCAGCAGCAAGGAGACGGTTGGAGGCAGTGGAGATGTCCTGTCTAAGGGCAATGTGTGGTGTAAATATTATGCAGAAAATTCGGAGTGTGGAAATTAGGATAAGGTGTGGAGTTAATAAAAGCATTAGTCAGAGGGCAGAAGAGGGGTTGTTGAGGTGGTTTGGTCATTTAGAGAGAATGGATCAAAGTAGAATGACATGGAAAGCATATAAATCTATAGGGGAAGGAAAGAGGGGTAGGGGTCGTCCTCGAAAGGGTTGGAAAGAGGGGGTAAAGGAGTTTTGTGGGCGAGGGGCTTGGACTTCCCGGGAAGCGTGCATGAGCATGTTAGATAGGAGTGAATGGAGACCCAATGATACTTGGGACCTGACGATCTGTTGGAGTGTGAGCAGGGTAATATTTAGTGAAGGGATTCAGGGAAACCGGTTATTTTCATATAGTCGGACTTGAGTCCTGGAAATGGGAAGTACAATGCCTGCACTTTAAAGGAGGGGTTTGGGATATTGGCAGTTTGGAGGGATATGTTGTGTATCTTTATACGTATATGCTTCTAAACTGTTGTATTCTGAGCACCTCTGCAAAAGCAGTGATAATGTGTGAGTGTGGTGAAAGTGTTGAATGATGATGAAAGTATTTTCTTTTTGGGGATTTTCTTTCTTTTTTGGGTCATCCTGCCTCAGTGGGAGACGGCCGACTTGTTGAATAAATATACAGTGGACCCCCGCATAACGATTACCTCCGAATGCGACCAATTATGTAAGTGTATTTATGTAAGTGCGTTTGTACGTGTATGCTTGGGGGTCTGAAATGGACTAATCTACTTCACAATATTTCTTATGGGAACAAATTCGGTCAGTACTGGCACCTGAACATACTTCTGGAGTGAAAAAATATCGTTAACTGGGGATCCACTGATATATATATATATATATATATATATATATATATATTATATATATATATATAGTGAAATTTCAAGTGCTTTAGTGACTTCTCACATTATCAAGGAACTATATGTAGTGTAGCTCCTTGATTATGTGAGAAGTCACAAAAGTGCTTGGAATTTCACTATTTTTTTCACAGTGGTTGTTCTGCATATTGTGGTATCTGTTTCCTGTGATCTCATTGTATGTATGTATGTATATATATACGTATAGTATATATGTCATGCCGAATAGGCAGAACTTGCGATCTTGGCTTAAATAGCAACGTTCATCTTGCCATATAGGACAAGTGAAAAGTTGTGTATGAAATAATTTTGCCAAAATCATTCTTAACCTAACGAAAAAAATGTATTTCACTGTGTTTGTTTAGTATTAAATTACTGTAAACAAATCTAAAATATATTTAGTTGGGTTAGACTAAAATAAATTACTCTTGTTATAATAAGGTTAGGTAAGTTTTCTAAGATTGTTTTAGTGCAAAATTATAAATTTTTCATTAACATTAATGAAAAAAATGTATCTTTAAACGTATAAGAAATTTTTTTAGAAAGGACTTAATTTTAAATGAGCTCTTGCTAATTGACCAGTTTTGCATATTCGGCACGACATATATATATATATATATATATATATATATATATATATATATATATATATATATATAATATATATAATATATATATATATATATATATATATATACACATGTATATATAAAATTTTTGACCAAATACATTTTTTGTAAAAAAAAAAATAATTTTTTTAGTAATTTTTTTTTTTGTTTGTTTTTTTACAATACACTTTAACTTTGTATAAAGGACTCATTCTTGAGTCATATACTGCCTGGGAGGTAGTTGGGTTTGATTCAAAGGGATGATAGTTCCAGTTCCTTGGATCAAGGCATATCCTGTGAGAATTGAGGATATTAAAGTGATCTCTCCAAAACTCTCTTAGTCAATTTAGTTTCTGAGGTCACTACAAAGCACCTTTCAAACAGAGCTTTTGTGTACAGTTCTTTGAAGTTTGCAATGACCTGCTGGTCCATGGGCTGCAGGAGAGGAGTGGTATTAGGAGGCAAAAACTTGACCTTAATGAAGCTCATGTCCCCACAAAGTCGCTCTGCCAAGTCTGTAGGATGACTAGGGGTATTGTCTAACACCAGGAGGCACTTAAGGTCTAATTTATTTTCAGTTAGGTAATTTTTCACAGTGGGGGCAAATGCTTGGTGTAACCAGTCATAGAAAAAGTCCCTAGTGACCCATGCCTTACTGTTTGCCCTCCACAGCACACACAAATTAGCCTTGAGGATATTCTTTTGCCTGAACACACTGGGAGTTTCAGAGTGATACACTAATAAAGGCTTCACTTTGCAATCGCCACTAGCATTGGCACACATTAACAGAGTAAGCCTGTCTTTCATAGGCTTATGTCCTGGGAGTGCCTTTTCCTCCTGAGTAATGTAGGTCCTACTTGGCATTTTCTTCCAAAACAGGCCTGTTTCGTCACAATTAAACACTTTTTCAGGTTTCAGTCCTTCACTGTCTATGTACTCCTTGAATTCCTGCACATATTTTTTCAGCTGCTTTGTGGTCCGAACTGGCAGCCTCGCCATGCCTTACACTATGCTTCTTAAATCTCTCAAACCAACCTTTGCTGGTCTTAAATTCACTCACATCATCACTAGTTGCAGGCATTTTTCTAATTAAATCCTCATGCAACTTCCTAGCCTTTTCACTTATGATCGCTTGAGAGATGCTATCTCCTGCTATCTGTTTTTTCGTTTATCCACACCAATAACAGTCTCTCAACATCTTCTATCACTTGTGATCTCTGTTTCGAAAACAAAGTTGCACCTTTGGCAAGAACAGCTTCCTTGATTGCCGTTTTCTTGGACACAATAGTAGCGATGGTTGATTGGGGTTTACTATACAACCTGGCCAGCTCGGAGACACGCATTCCACTTTCATACTTAGCAATGATCTCTTTCTTCATCTCCATAGTAATTCTCACCCTTATTCCTGTAGGGTTGGCACTAGAAGCTTTCTTGGGGCCCATGGTCACTTATTTTGCAGGTGAAATCACTAAAAACGCTGTAATAATACGAAATGTTCCGATTGCATGCTTGGATGTTGCCGCGGAGGCTGGCTCAGGCCGCACATAGATGCGTCGAGCGAGTTTTTTAGTGCTAGGCGAGGCAAAATTTTAGCGATAAAATGTATCGCTAGGCAGATTTAACGTTATGTGATGCCAGCGTTAGGCGGGGGTCTACTGTATTCCGTGGTTAGAATTTGTACACCCAAATGAGTCACAGGGAATGAAAAATTACATAAAACAAGGTTATTTTTATTAATGTTCATTTCCTTTCTGCAGAATTTTAATTTTTTAACTGGTAAACCAGATTGCTGCTGTCAGCAAGCCACAGTACTGTAGATTAGTAGGCAAAAATGGAAGCAAACTACAAGTAAGAATGACATTAGGGAGTTCTAACGTATTTGGATATTATTACACATGGCATATACAGGTAAACTGCTAAGCTGAACTTGAGTTTTAGAGGTTGGAAATGTAATTCCTCTATAGAAATTTAGGTACCCATTTTTCCTCTGGAAAGACAGGCCTTAGATTGGACTGAGAGGGTAAAACCCTCAAAACCAGTCACAGATATGCCTGGTAATCATAATAAAATATTTAGTAAAGAGAAGAAGGAAGGAAACCAAAGCATGTGTAGTTAATCGCCTCAATATGGAGTGTGGGGAGAGGAAATATTGCCCCATGTCATGTATTGGAAATCAACCCACTAATGTTCAGAATTATAAATAAATGAAATTGTAATGCATTTACTACTTATAATTTTTTTTAACCCCTTAATTACTAATGTAAGAAATGTCTTAATTTTTTTTCCCTTTTATTTACAGGGTGATCATTTAAGCCATGGTGGAGCTGGACCTCACTAGTGACCTGACCACCACTGGCAGCAGCTGTAGTCCTTTCCAAAAGGACTACATTGGGGGGTTGTGGAGCCCCCCCATTATGGGGGCTGGTATGTACAGCTGAGCCACTCACAAGGCCTGTGTGAGAGGCAGCATGTGGTACATCCAATGTGGCAGGGGATCGTGACATCGGGCAATTATATGTGTTTAGTGTATATTTTTTAAGCATCCAAGAGTGAATGGCAAGGGATGGGACAGTTTTGAACGTTGTTTAGGACACCAGGGCCCCCTAACCCCCCCTGCCCAGTGCAGCTCAGTGTGTGGTCTCTTGTGTGCGATCTTCCACAACATATCTCGCAGCCAATCATATCACAAGGCAGCCTAAGCTTGGTCATGATGTGACAATGGTCGTAGCTTCACTTATCCTGAAATGTGCAAAAATGAAGTTCTGCCAGTCTTGGTGTGTATCTGAGCTCCCAAAGAAATTATGGAAGGTTGAGCATTGACTCAAATGTGTGAGAACTTGGAAAGTATTTACAAAGAGCGACACGATGCCTTGAAGTGTGGGGTGAAGCTGAATAGTGCAGTGCGATGAACTGAGAGTTGGCTTCTTATTGGCCATGTACTCTGGGCTGGTGGTGAAGACCGAGCAATGAACCTGACTTCACTAGGTTTAGCATTGTATACATAATTACTATACATTGTGTACAGAATGACTCATTATTTTATTAAACAAACATTTTTAGCTAGGTGATCTATTCTGAGAAAAAAAAAAAAAGTAATGTAAAGAATGCACAATGCTATTATGAACAGATGGCTTACATCAAGGATTATGATTCAGAAGCTAAAATTATAATGGTAGCTTCACTGTGTTGAGCAACTCCTCTTTTAAGTGCATAATTTTAGTGTAGTTGTTAGTGCTTCCCATTTTCCTGTGTTCATCTGCTGACTTTATTGATAATTTTTATTTTGTACTCATTATTTAGAACTGGATCTCTGTGTCCACCTATATGTCATGAGTGGAATGAGGCCAATCAGTCCACAGTGCCTCAACATCAGTTTTCTGTCATGGGGAAGTGATATATGTATTTGAAAATCAGTGAACTTTCATTCAGCTAAGGAAACAGCAGCTTAAAAAAAATGTTTTGTGTAGCTGTGCTGTTAGGCATATCTAATTGGAGAAATTTATATAATTATGTTGCACCTAAATTGCAGCTGAGTATCATCCACAAATTTTTATATTACTTGGCATTGTTAATGCGTTACTTTGATCGCAAAATGGTGCAATTTCTTATAATAGTATCATTCTAAAACATTCCAATTGAAGTGTTATGTAACTTTTGTTAATTACAACTGTGGTCTATGACCAAATATCAAATCCACTCATCTCTGGACTGCACTTTGACATTTACATTATTTAAACATGTGTACAGAGCAGGGACATGGTGGTGTTTGCACACGTTATCTTATTAATATCCAGTTCTATTGGATAATTTATTATAAATTTAATAAACACAACCATGGCCCTGATTTCTATACAAAGTTTGCTGTAGTCCTACTTCATCTGACTATCAGGTTATACAGGGCACAGCTATTGGAGATCTCCAGCCTCCAGTGTGATTTAATTGCTTTAGACCTCCCACAAGATTATTTAGCTAAGAATTGGTTTAAACATTTTTTTGAAATTGACAAAATATTTAATATGTTATTGTAGTGTGTTCTCAACTTTGTAGATATTATGGTTTGTTGAGATGATGTTTAATGACAGGAGCAGCCAGCATTAGATTCATGGACTTTTCCTTGTGCATTTTTAAAGATTCATATTTAAATATTTTATCTGTCAGAAATATTCCATCCATCCTGGTACGCCTGAGACTCGAAGGGACATCTTACTGTTCCTCGTGTTTACGCTCACTCAAACTCTGCCGGCTCACCACCCTACACCAGTGCTACCTTTACTTCCTCCCAGCTGAAACTGAGGATGGAGAGTGTTGAGTTCGGGCACCAGTCTGGCGTGCCTCAGAGCTTCCAGGCACTGCGGCACTTACCCAGTCGGATGACGTGATGTGTACAAATATTGTAAGACGAGTGCAGTGGGCGCTGTGTCAGCCTCTCCACGAGGGTACTCAACATGGACTTCATCTGTAGAATAATAAATGTGCCATTTTGCATTATATGATGTTTTATTTCACTATCTTGCATTTGTAGGACTCAAAATCAGTAGTTGTGATATGTAAACTGAAGAATGTATGGAAAAAATAGGGTTGTGTATGACACCTCCAAAAACAGCCAAAATTTGTTGTAATTTACTTCATAAAAATAATTAAGGTTTTAGATACCTTACACTGTGAAAGATATTGATCTAGCAATGTGTGAAAGTTGACTTTGCCCTAAGCCATCAATATCATAACATTAATAAGGAACTCTTGTTGTGGCCTCTGCAAACTCCCCCAAATCACCAACTAAATTTCAGTCAAGACCACTTTCACCTGTACAAACAACAATTGACACCTGCCATCAACACTGGTAAAAGCCACATTGGAATTTGTGGCCCTGTCAAATATTAGTACAATCAGCTACTACACCACTGTCATGATGGGAACCAGTCACTGACTCCAAGAACAACAACGTAGTACTTTTACTTAGTCTAAAATGTGAGGAGAATTTTATCTAATCCTAATTTCACAAAATCCCCATGCTTATGAAAAGATGTTTCAATCCATCTTGGGCCATTGTTAAGTCACAATCAAGGAAGAAATCAGGAGTGGTAGTGACAATGTAGCAGCAAAAGAGTTAGTAATAACAGTAGTAGTACAAAAGAACAGAGCAGCAGGCCTACTAGCTCAAACTAGGTAGGACGAGTTATAGAATACTGAGGGTAAATTATATCTGAAAGCACCATATAATCAACATCCATGGTCCCAGACTATTTAATATCTTATCAGAAGATATCAAATGTCTGACAAGTGCCGAATCAACCAGGCTGTGACAGATATACGAGCTTTGGTTGGTCAGGCAAGCACCAGACAAGTAGCCTGACTCAGGGTCAGGAGTAGGAAAATTTTCAAAATTCATTAAAAGCAAAAGGGAAATTGGACAGGTTAGGAGAGAGATCAAAGAACTAAAAGAGGTTGATATAGGGCTAGCTGGAGGCTGTTCTGTTGTGCAGACCTGACAGAGCTATGATAAATACAAATAATACACATTAATAAATGAACTGACTTTTTGGGGGGCTCCCTAGCTTGGTAGATGGCCAGTGGTACAAAAAACAAACATGAGTAATATTTCATAAGGCTAAGGAACCATGTGTATGAAATACTTATAACTGTTCAACCAATTAAATATTATACTTACATAAAATTTGCAGATTTAGAAAATACACTCCTTCCTGCACGAGAATCAGTTAATCAATATCATCATAGCTTGTGCGTGGCCTCTTTGCTTCAGGGCCTTCCACATTCTCTTTCTTCAGGCTGTCTAAATCTTCCATGGAAAGAATTGATCTGGATCCCTGAGCATCAACAATGTTTGTACTAGAAATAGAAAGGAAAAAGCACTTAAAAATCTTGATTATTTAAACATAAAAGTCCAATGCTTACTATGTCATAAAACTTATCTATCTGTTCACCAGAATGAGCAATAGAGTCTCAACAATTCATTGCTACAAATGCACATATTACTCTTGTGGCAACACTTTTCTTGCCAAATAAGGTAAGCGAAAATTTTGCTATGCAATCTCACAAAAATCATTCTGAACCTAACGAAAAAATATACTACAGCCTCTCCTCACTTAGTGACGTACTCGTTTACTGACAACTTGGACTTATGACGGGCTCAGTCCAGTATACATACCTAAATAATGTATATTAAGAGATGATTCCCTCTCTTCTGTTTATTACAATATACAGTACACTACTGTATAAACATTTAAAAATTTACCAAAACTGTTATAGTGCAAAGATGACATTAAAGGAATATCAAAGATGGTTGACACACACCTACTACCATTATAGTATGCTCCTCACTTAGTAAATAGTTTTGGGACCTGACACGCCGTTGGAATGTACAGCAACGTGCAGTTAGAGAAATTATGTTACTAGCCTTCCTGAAGCTATGTTGAGCTATTTCACTAAATTTACACTGTCATGAATAAACATCATGGCATCATGATCAAAAAAATGCCGCAAATTTCTCGGCTGTCTCCTGGTGAAAATGTTTTAACAGACTGTCCCTTAATCAAGTCTACTGTATACTGCAAATGCAAAATACAATTAGTGCAATCTTAAGAGATTTTATTTGATTATTTTTAAAATGCATTACTTACCACACTGTTCCTGGCTGATAACAAGTAGAAAGAACAATATCAAGTGCATTAAAGAGAGATCGGGCATTGAGCTGAGTGAAGCACATGGGTGGTGTTACTGCAATTACATTATGACTTGGCCCCTCAACTTGAACCAGAATATGATGATCTTCTTTTAATCTAAAAGATAAAAAAATTATTACTCTTTATAAAAATAAGAACTGAAAATATTTAGAGCAATAATATAAACTAATTAACTTACAGCAATACCAAAACAAGTGTTTTAATTCGCTTAATTCACTTGTATATCAGTTCTATTCTTGTTTGAGATGTAAACTGTTGTATGATCTCATCATACAATAAGCTTCCTTGCTCCAGTTGCATCAGTACACATTTTTTTTAAATAGAGAGTAAACTGAGGCCACTTACTCTTTCCTGGCTCTGTGATCCAGGAAAACAAGTATTTATTAGTTTCAGGGGCTTCCCCCTTGATTACAATAATAATAATTCAGGGGCAGAAAATGTGCATTCTGCTGAAGCATTGTTGCTAGGTATGGCTAGAATTAACTCATCCAGTTGAAATACTTCTTTGAAACTTGATGTGAGACTTTTTCTACCCTCAACTCAATTAGTTCATGTACATTTAAGATCAACATTAATTAATTCTGGCATATAAAATACTCAAGAAAAGCATAAAACTGTTTAACTGAGTGAGTATATCAACACAACTTTCAACTGTGTGAATTACAGTAATAAAAAATATTCTTAAAAAAATCACATATTACTGTAACTGTATGGTATTTAAGATCAATGCTAATAAATCTGACATACAAAATGCACAAGAATGCAAGAAAATTGTGAAAACTGATCAAATATATTAACAAACAACTTTCCAAGCTAAATTGTAACCCACTGACTGTAAACAACAGCTGATATTGTTAGATCAACAGCTCCAGACTTCAACCTAACTTAATCTTTGTTTCTGAGTGTATATTATTAGATTTAAAAGCTATTTACGACGAGATTATATCGTGATAACGCAAGAACATAATTATTATAAACTTAGTTTCAGTTAACGAATTTTCAACGAATTTATAAATACATACAACTTCTCATCATGAAAATGAACACAGGATGTGTTCTAGGGGAATGCTGTTCATCCTTCACCCCTTATTTTTGTCACTCTCCAATTATCTTGCCATCCACTCAGTGCCACATCATGATACAACTAGCTGTGGGGTGTGCAGTGGTATCTCAGAACAACTGCCACAATATTTCATAACAGGGGACAGAAAAATTAATTTCCCATTATGATTCATTTTTGCTGGGAATATAGCACTCACCTAGCACACCCAGAATATACACCCCTGCTTAAAATATATCTGCCAAGACTTTGAATGCCATCAATATGCCACCATGCACTATATAGTGAGTCCCCATGATATTCTTTGTTATAAATAGTTCTGTTATACAGTTCTTCTATACTGTAAATGGTTTTCTTATACTGTTGTACTATACCTAACATACAAGTCTTATCTCACTCTCCATGTGTATATAGATGTTTAAAAAAGTATCCTCTGTGACTTGATAAAGCTCAGCCCTGAGTGATGCACTGTACAGTAACAAAAGCTTGTTGACATTACACATTCTGTTGACATTACACCTTCACATCAAGAAGGTAGGAGAGAAACCTACAAGAAATAACAAGGTCTGTAAGGAACTAAACAAAATATTTAAAGACATGTTCTCAGATGATACAGGAGTAGCACCAAAGAGAAAAAAATACACCAATGGATATGAGGCAGTATATATACAACAGGGAAGTATATGAACACTTTTGAGAGAGTCACATATATCACAAGACCTGACAAAGTGTCACTGTGGATTCTGCGAGAGGAAGCAGAAGCATTATCTGAGCCACAAGCTATGTAAAATCTACAAGTGAAGGGATATGGGACAATTGCCAGAGATCTAGAAAACAGTGAATGTAGTCCCAATATTTAAGAAAGGAGACAGACAGGAAAAGTTAAACTACAGATCAATATCACTGATATCACAATATCACAAGGTAATGGAGAAGAAAATCAAAGAGATGTGGTTTCATAAGCAACAACTAGCCTGGGTTTATAGATGACAAATCTTGTTTCACAAACCTGCTTGAGTTCTATGACAAAGTAACAAAGTGAGGCAGGAGAGAGAGAGAGACAGAGGGATGGGTGGACTGCATATTCTTGGACTGCAAGAAGGCATTTGATATAGTACCATACAAGAGTGTGATTTGATGAGCAGGGAGAAATGATATAGAATGCACTACAGTGCATCAAAGAGTACCTTATGGAAAGGAGGCAAAGATTATCTGAGAAGGGTCACTAAAATGGGAAAGTGTCATATGTGGGATTCCACAAGGATCAGTATGGGGACTGGCACTGTTTCTGATATATGTGGATCACATACCAAGAGTCAGATATCATAAAAATTAATGAGAATAAAAACTTAGGGGGCTAAGAAAGACTACAAAGAGACATGGACGAACTGCAAGAATAGTCTTCAAGTGGATACTTGAATTCAACTCTAGCAAATGCAAGATTATGAAAACTGGGGAAAGGTCAAGAAGACTTGAAACTGAGCATAGACCTGGGGGATGTCACAGAGGCTGCAAACCTCGAGGAGAAAAACTGAAGGATGAGCACAGTTCCAAGCATTTCACCAGAGGCACATATCAACTAAACGACCTCTGCAGCAAATGATCATTTTGCAAAACTAGCTTTTGGTAATATCAACAAAGTCATTCGCATCCTTATATACAACATATGTTAGGCCCAGCTTGGAGTACGTAGCACCAGCATAGAACCTTCACCCCTTAAAGTATCTTAAGAAACTGGAGAAAGTGCAGAGGTATACAGTAAGATTAGTCCTACTGCTAAGGAAAATGAGCTATGAGGAGAAGCCTAAATTGAGAGGCAGGGGCATGAGTTGAGACTTAACCACTGTAACTACAAAGAGGCGAGAACAAAAAGGTGAGCTCATCCCATGGACCAGGGATACCTCGACAGAGGGTGGCAAACAAGTGGAAGGAGCTGGATGAAAAGGTGGTTTGTGGAGGAAAACCCTGCACAGTTTCAAAACACCCAGGAGGCCAAAAACAGAAAATGGCTGTCAATTACTGATGTACTGACCTAAACAAGCAGCTTGCTCATAATGTATACACAGATAAAATACAAAACACATACACACACAAAAAAAAAAATACTGTGCCTCTCACCTGTAAACTATTGATTGGGCAAGTTCAGTAGCAGGTTTCCGACTACATTTGTCTTGCACAATTTCTATACCTAAGCAAAGGCCCATCCCCCGCACATCTCCAGCAACAGCATGCTTTGTTTTCAGTATCTGAAGGTTCTCCAACAATGTCTTTCCAACTGCTTTGGCACTTTGAATCAGTTTTTCATTTTCAATTACATCCAAAACTGCCATTCCTATTGCACATGCTACTGGATTTCCACCAAACTGTAACAGAAAAATACAATATTTGCACACTTCAGCATCCATCATATATTTCATTTTCATTAGGTATTTATATAGGTATTGCAAATGTTATCCAATTACCACATCAGCAATTTTGCCCACTTTGCACCCTATTTTTGGCCAATTCCACTGTTCCAGTTAACCAAACTCTGCTATTTCACTAGTATTTCTTCTATTCTATCGACTGAGTACAAGAAACCACCCATTTCCCTATTTCAACTACCCAATAAAAAGACCAGAAATCAGTAATTTGGCCAATTTCACACAAAATTAAAAAAATGGCAATTTAAAAATAGGGTCCAGAATAAACAATGCAGACATTCCTGGAACTAAAAACATTTTCTCTGTTCCTTAGTCACGTCTCCAGGCCCCTCTTATATTACGCTTGCTTTCCATTTTGAATTTTTATTCACACAAAAAATAGATTTATACTTTAACAGGACGCATGACTATAACAAGAGACACAGATTTCTTTTTGATGTACCCCATGTCCATATCACTGTGTAAAAACTCTATGCACATAAAGAGCCCCAAAATTTGGAATTCATTACCAGTAAATACTAAAGTAACCTGGTCTGAACATCAATTTAAGACTTCTCAAAAACCACCTACTCACCCTAAACTAAATACTCAATACTCAATATTTAATTTCCCAATTACCTAAATCTTAAAACTTCAAAACTAGATGCCCAAAGCTCATACACTGATTAATACTACTACATAGTAGTATAAATACCTACCCAAAACAATACTGCCTTACACCCAATTGTAGCATTCTCATACTCTAAACTACTTTCAACAACTCACAATGTTATATTCCCATAACATAATTTCCATATTTATTTTTGAAACTGTGTATAGTAGGTTGGTAGACAGCAACCACCCAGGGAGGTACTACCGTCCTGCCAAGTGAGTGTAAAACGAAAGTCTGTAATTGTTTTACATGATGGTAGGATTGCTGGTGTCTTTTGTCTGTCTCATAAATATGCAAGATTACAGGTACGTCTTGCTACTTCTACTTACACTTAGGTCACATTAAACATACATGTACATGTTTATTTATACACACTCATCTAAGTTTTCTTTGATTTTATCTTAGTTATTGTTCTTATTACTTTTCCTTTTATATCCATGGGGAAGTGGAATAAGAATCTTTCCTCCGTAAGCCATGCGTGTTGTAAAAGTCAACTAAAATGCCAGGAACAATGGGCTAGTAACCCCTTTTCCTGTAATAATTACTAAAAAGAATAATAAGAAGAAAATTGTCAAAGTGGGAAGTCTGAATGTGCGTGGATGTTGTGCAAATGATAAGAAAGAGATGATTGTGGATGTTATGAATGAGAAGAAGCTGGATGTCCTGGCTTTAAGTGAAACAAAGCTGAAGGGGGTGGGTGAGTTTCAGTGGGTCAGGGGTTTCTAATAGAGTTAGAGCTAAAGAAGGAGTATCCATAATGTTGAAGGATAAGCCATGGCAGGAAAAGAGGGACTATAAATGTATTAATTCAAGGATTATGTGGAGTAAAATAAAGGTCGGATGTGAGAAGTGGGTTATAGTAAGCGTATATGCACCTGGGAAAGAGAGCAGTATAGAGGAGAGAGAGAGAGATTTTTGGAAATGTTGAGTGAATGCATGGGGAGCTTTGAACCAAGTGTGAGAGTACTTGTGGTTGGGGATTTTAGTGCTAAAGTGGGTAAAAATGTTGTGGAGGGAGTAGTAGGTAAACTTGGGGTGCCAGGGGTAAATGAAAATGGGGAGCCTTTAATTGAGCTATGTTATGAAAGAGGTTTGATAAGTAATACATATAATATGAAAAAGAGGATAAATAAATATACAAGGTATGATGTAGCACATAATGAGAGTAGTTTCTTAGATTATGTATTGGTGGATAAAAGGTTGATGGGTAGGCTCCAAGATGTACACGTTTACAGAGGGGCAACTGATATATCGGATCATTATCTAGTTGTAGCTACAGTTAGAGTAAGAGGTAGATGGGATAAGAGGAAAATGGCAACAAGTAAGAGGGAGGTGAAAGTGTATAAAATAAGGGAGGAGGAAGTTCGGGTGAAATATAAGCAATTATTGGCAGAAAGGTGGGCTGGTGCAGGTATGAGTAGTGGGGGGGGGGGGGTTGAAGAGGGTTGGAATAGTTTTAAAAATGCAGTATTAGAATGTGGGGCAGAAGTTTGTGGTTATCAGAGGGTGGGTGCAGGAGGAAAGAGGAATGATTGGTGGAATGAAGTAAAGGGTGTGATAAAAGAGAAAAAGGTAGCTTATGAGAGGTATCTATAATGCAGAAGTGTTATAAGAAGAGTAGAGTATATGGAGAGTAAAAGAAAGGTGAAGAGAGTGGTGAGAGAGTGCAAAAGGAGAGCAGATGATAGAGTGGGAGAGGTACTGTCAAGAAATTTTAATGAAAATAAGAAAAAATTTTGGAGTGAGTTAAACAAGTTAAGAAAGCCTAGGGAACAAATGGATTTGTCAGTTAAAAACAGAGTAGGGGAGTTAATAGATGGGGAGATGGAAGTTTTGGGTAGATGGCGAGAATATTTTGAGGAGCTTTTAAATGTCGACGAAGAAAGGGAGGCGGTAATTTCACACACTGGCCAGGGAGGTATACCATCTTTTAGGAGTGAAGAAGAGCAGGATGTGAGTGTGGGGAGGTGTGTGAGGCATTACGTAGAATGAAAGGGGGTAAAGCAGCTGGAACTGACAGGATCATGACAGAAATGTTAAAAGCAGGGGGGGACATAGTGTTGGAGTGGTTGGTATTTTTGTTTAATAAATGTATGAAAGAGGGGAAGGTACCTAGGGATTGGCGGAGAGCATGTATAGTCCCTTTATATAAAGGGAAGGGGGACAAAAGAGATTGTAAAAATTATAGAGGAATAAGTTTACTGAGTATACCAGGAAAAGTGTACGGTAGGGTTATTATTGAAAGAATTAGAGGTAAGACAGAATGCAGAATTGCGGATGAACAAGGAGGTTTTAGAGTGGGTAGGAGATGTGTAGATCAAGTGTTTACATTGAAGCATATATGTGAGCAGTATTTAGATAAAGGTAGGGAAGTTTTTATTGCATTTATGGATTTAGAAAAGGCATATGATAGAGTGGATAGGGAAGCAATGTGGTAGATGTTGCAAGTATATGGAATAGGTGGTAAGTTACTAAATGCTGTAAAGAGTTTTTATGAGGATAGTGAGGCTCAGGTTAGGGTGTGTAGAAGAGAGGGATACTATTCCCGGTAAAAGTAGATCTTAGACAGGAATGTGTAATGTCACCATGGTTGTTTAATATATTTATAGATGGGGTTGTAAAAGAAGTAAATGCTAGGGTGTTCGGGAGAGGGGTGGGATTAAATTATGGAGAATTAAATACAAAATGGGAAGTGACACAGTTACTTTTTGCTGATGATACTGTGCTTATGGGAGATTCTAAAGAAAAATTGCAAAGGTTAGTGGACGAATTTGGGAGTGTGTGTAAAGGTAGAAAGTTGAAAGTGAACATAGAAAAGAGTAAGGTGATGAGAGTATCAAATGATTTAGATAAAGAAAAATTGGATATCAAATTGGGGAGGAGGAGTATGGAATAAGTGAATGTTTTCAGATATTTGGGAGTTGACGTGTCGGCGGATGGATTTATGAAGGATGAGGTTAATCATAGAATTGATGAAGGAAAAAAAGGTGAGTGGTGCATTGAGGTATATGTGGAGGCAAAAAATGTTATCTATGGAGGCAAAGAAGGGAATGTATGAAAGTATAGTAGTACCAACACTCTTATATGGGTGTGAAGCTTATATTTCCCATACGAAATAATGTAAATACAATTAATCTGTTCCAGACCCACAAAAATACTCACAAAAAAATACATTTTTTAAAGAATAACTATAGTTTAACATACATTTAGTACTTAAAACATACATACATATAGTATTAAATGAGTAATACAATACATAAATAAACATTTAAAATCATGTTTACGTACCTTTATTGAAGACTGTTGTTGGCATCTGGAAGATAGGGAGAAGGAGAGAGGGAGGACTTATTACTGCCTCAACCACTGCCTCCACTACTGCCTCCACCACTGCTTACACCACTGCCTCACTGCCACTATGAAGTTTCTTTGGGCCCATGGTGGCTTATTTCACAGTCACAATCAATAAACAAGCACTAAACACAATAAGTTTATTGTGAAATGTTCAGATGAACGAGCAGGGTAATGTTCACTCAAGGATAAACAAAGCTAGACTGGCTCACAGCCCCTGCACGCCTCCCAATGCAGGCGCGGGTAGGCGGACAGTTCTGGTATGCCGGCCGAAACATGGGGCAACAGCCGAAACTCGGGACAAAATTTAGCCGAAAAAAGTGGTCGAAACTCGAAGCAGCCGATACTCAGGGCGGCTGAAACACGGGGTTCCACTGTATTTATATTGTTTAATATGTCATATTAGATCAATTGTGATAGGCAAATAAGCCAGTGTGTTGATATTAGCATAATAATAAAGCATATTCCCCTGCATCACAAGACTGAGCTCATGGCAACTGACAGTGGCTTCAAAGGCACCATATCTTTTATGGACAATGTACTGTGTATGTGCTTTACACAATGAGAAGCATTTCTTTTATTTGTTGGAACCATGGCTAAGGCTAAAAGTAAGCAGGTTACAACAATAAACGGAGAAAAAGAAATTGGAATGACTTATGCAGCAAGTAGCGCCACCAAACAGTACCAGCAGGTTGATGTGGCGACCCTGGAAATTTGAAATTATGCTAGCTGAAATCAGTGCTAAATAACTGATGGAACCGGATGTCTGATTGCCGGATTTGTGATGGCTGACCTGTAATTTGTTTTGTGTCATTTTTATATAATTTCTTATCTGCCACATTTGATTTTTATATTAATGTAATATTATTGACAATGTAAGAAAGGGACCCCAATGGAAATAAGTCACTCTGTCTGACTTTTTTGGGTTAGCCTAGGTTCTCTACACATATGCTGATATGTATGATAATCTATGTAACTGTATTTGTGTATACCTGAATAAACTGACTGACTTACTTACTATTAAAAAAGCTTGGCCTTGATTTTGAAATAAGTAAATTTCAGTTTGCCACTTCATTAAATATAAATTGTTTCCTGTGAAATAACTAAATAATGCCTCTTCTGATGGTCTTGAAACCCTAATAATCTTAATTGATGTATTTTTGTACTTATTTTGGTGCCAATTTGCCAATATTTTTTTTAAAAACCAATTTGATCAAGTTGGATTTTCTTAAAAACTAATAAAATATTTTTTCCATATAGGATTGTAGAGAATTTGAAATAGAATATAATGAGAAAAGAGAACAAAAAAAAAAATATTCACATTATGATTTGTTAAATTTACAAGGATAGACTTTCCTATTTGGGGAATTTTTTCTTAGTAACATTTTTTATTTGTTTCTCCTAAATTTTAGTTTATAACTCGAGAACATCTCATAATGATAAAACAGAGCAAAGAGCCGCTCAGAGAAGGGATGGACTGGACCAACGTAAGCAAGTCTCCCACAGCCAGGCAGGCAGGCGTGACCTCACCTTGGCTGAGGACAGCCAGTTCTTCCCTTATTGGTAGGCTGAACTGGACTATTGACACAGCATTGGGGCTCTAGAACTGCTATAATTCTGAATTGCCAGTTCACCGGTTGAGAGGGCATGCCAGTGAATGTGTAATGAACGTCGAGTAAATAAAATCATGAATTTTTTTATCATTAACCCTGTGGAATGCATCCTTGAATTATAAAGGAATACAATGCATACATACTCACAGTGGAATAGTATTCCCCCAGTGCATCAGCAATCTCTTGAGTAGTTATTACAGCTGCCATTGGATGACCATTACCAAGTGGTTTACCTACAGTGACAATGTCAGGAATAACACCATATTGCTGAAAAACAGAATTAACATCATTAATAACACCTTGTTATTGAAAATAAAAAAGAATGAAATTTTGCTCATAAATGCTGAAAAGAAAACAAACTGGGGATATATTGTTGCTTACATGTAATAAAAGTTTAAATGGAAGAAGTTCAGTATAATGACCAAACTTCAGTGCTTTAAGCTTAATATCAATCAGAAGAGTTCTCATTATTCTGTAAAATGGTAAAGAAGAGGTGCAAATAATATTAGTATATAAAATAATAGGGCACTGAAACCATATGATATCTCTTGTATTTACAGTACCTAATGAAATACGGCAGGGACAAAATTTAATTTTGTTATTATGATGCTTAAGACCCAGGACAACATTAAATAATCTTTGCGTTCCCCAATTTTCATCACTAATCTTCAACAGCCAGCAATGCTTTCCTTGTATACCATACACAATAGACTTCCTTCTATATACCATTTAATTCACTGTACTATATGCTTTCTCCATATCCAAAAGGCAAGTTGCAAATACTATACGCCTAAAGACATAAATATATACTAAGTCTTGTTATGAGACTGTAATACAGATGTATGTATGATTCTGATAGCGACTTTGATGTTTGAAAGATACTGCACTTGAAAGACATACACTGATAATGCTTGAAGATATCTAATATGAAGTGTGTGCTGATGTTTATTATCATTATATTTAGGGAAAGCACTACACCCATAAGGGTTATAAGAGCGAGTGGAGGAATGGAAGGCAAGGAAGGAAATTAATTTTGATTCAAGGAAAAGGACATCTAATTCCTTGCATCAAGAACCATTCACTAGGATCAGGGAATTTCCCTTGAGGGGTGCTGATGCTTATAAAGCATTAATTCATTCACTTTAAAACTAGTAGTTTGAAAAAATTCTTCAATCAGACTGTAAAAAAATATAACCTATAGATACAAAAATGAAAGTGTATATTTATATGTACTTACCTCAAAAGCCCAAAAATGTTCTCCAGTTCGGCCAAGACCTGTCTGTACTTCATCAGCAATACATACACCTCCAGCTTCATGAATCAGGCTGCAAGAATACTTTATAATTAAAATGAAAAAATTACTGCACAGTACTTTGCCTTACAAGATGCAGTGGAACCTCAAAAATCGAACGTATCACATATCGAACGTTTCGAAAATAGGACCATTTTTTCAGACAAACTGTGTCCCTATTATCAAACGCGCCCCTATTTTCGGACCACCGGGTACGGGACCTGTCTGCCGGCCTGCTCTGTCCGCGTCCCCGCACAGGCACCGTGAGCAGTCTAGCTTTGTTTATACTTGAGTGAACACTAACCTGCGCTCTCATTCACGCATTTTACGATTATTTCGTTGTGTTTAGTGCTTGTGGGACTGTGAAATAAGCTGCCATGGGCCCAAAAAAACTTGCTAGTGGTACCCCTGTGGTAAAGAAAGTGAGAAACACCATAGATGTGAAGAAGGAAATAATACAGAAGTATGAGAGTGGTGTGAGACTTGTTGAGATTGCCAGGATGTATGGGAAAAACAAGTCGACCATCGGTTCTATCCTGTCAAAGAAAGAACAAATCAAGGAAGCTGATGTTGCAAAAGGTGTTAATATGCTAACCAAAAAAAGACCACAAATAGTTGAAGAGGTTGAGAAGTTGTTGCTGGTGTGGATCAAGGATAAAGAGATTGCAGGTGATAGTGTTTCAGAGACGATTATTTGCGAAAAGGCAAGGAAGCTGCATGCCGATCTGGTACAGAAAACTCCTGGAACCAGTGCTGATAGTGAATTTAAGGCCAGCAGAGGCTGGTTTGACAGATTTAAGAAGCATAGTGGCATACACAATGTTGTAAGACATGGTGAGGCAGCCAGTTCAGACAAATGGGCAGCTGAGAAGTTTGTACAGGAGTTTAAGGGGTACATAGACAGTGAAGAATTGAAACCTGAACAAGTGTTTAATTGTGACGAAACAGGCTTGTTTTGGATGAAAATGCCAAAAAGGACCTTCATCACACAGGAGGAAAAGGCACTGCCAGGACACAAGCCTATGAAAGACAGGCTTACTCTTTTGTTCTGTGCTAATGCTAGTGGTGATTTTAAAGTGAAGCCTTTACTTGTGTATCATTCAGAAAATCCCAGAGTGTTTAAGATAAACAATATCTTTAAGAACAAGTTATGTGTCTTGTGGAAAGCTAATCATAAGGCATGGGTCACAAGACAAATTTTCAAAGAGTGGGTCCATGAAATGTTTGGCCCCAGTGTGAAAAAATACCTCCAGGAAAAGAAATTGCCACTCAAGTGCCTCCTGTTAATGGACAATGCTCCTGCTCATCCTCCAAACTTATTAGACCTCTTGTCTAAGGACTTCAGTTTTATAAAAGTGAAGTTCTTGCCTCCTAACACTACTCCTCTCCTCCAGCCCATGGACCAGCAGGTCATTTCTAACTTCAAAAAACTCTACACAAAAGCAGTGTTTGAAAAGTGCTTTGAAGTGACCACAGACACTAAGTTGACCCTAAGAGAGTTCTGGAGGAATCACTTCAACATCTACAGCTCCATAAGCCTTACAGGTAAGGCTTGGGAGGGAGTGACTTCCAGGACTTTGAACTCTGCTTGGAGACAATTGTGGCCAGATTGTGTCCAAAAGAAGGATTTTGAAGGGTTTGAGGCTGACCCTGACCTGACCCAGCTTACTCTCTGCCTGTTGTGGACTCTACTGTGGCATTGGGGAACATCCTGGGGTTGGAGGTGAGTGGTGAGGATGTGGAAGAGTTGGTGGAGGACCACAGGGAAGAGCTAACCACTGAAGAGCTGCAAGAGCTTCATATGGAGCAGTATCAGACCACAGCTGAGGAACTTGCTTCAGAGGAGGAGGAAGAGGGAGTGGATGAGGTGCCTTCTTCAAAGATTAAGGAGATTTGTGCCAAGTGGAATGATGTCCAAATGTTTGTTCAGAAGTACCACCCTGAGCAAGCTGAAACAAGCCATCTTTGCAACAAGTTCAGTGACAGAACCATGTCCCATTTTAGGGAAATGTTAAAGAGGTGCCAGAAACAGAGGACTGTAGACAGTTATTTTGTGAGACAGGGGTCCAGTGACTCTCAAGCTGGCCCTAGTGGCATTAAAAGACAGAAGGGAAGTAACCCCAGAGAGGGCTTTACCTGAAGTCCTCATGGAGGGGGATTCTCCTTCCAAACACTAACCCCAACTCCCTCTCTCCTCCTCCCTATCTGCCAGATGCCATCACCAATCTTCAATAAAGGTAAGTAAAAATTTTATTTTATATGTATTACTATACATAATTAAAAACTATAGTATTCGTTGTATGTAAAACTGTAATTAATCTCTATAAAATGTATATTTGTGAATATTTTTGGGTTTCTGGAACAGATTAATTGTATTTCCATTATTTCTTATGGGAAATATTGCTTCGAATTTCAGACTTTTCGAATTTAGAACTAGCTCCTGGAACGGATTAAGTTCGATTTTTGAGGTTCCACTGTAATTTACAATAATTGAAATGCAGAATTCACCTGAGTTTACTGTGGCCAAAATAAAGAATAATACTAAGGAAGAGGTGTTTATTTTCAGCCCATTATCACACTACCTGAAAGATACCTAAAGGTCGTTTCTGGAGGTCAATGTCCCTGCAGCCCAGTCCCAGACCAGGTCATTTCAGGTTTCCCATTTTCCTTGGCCACTTTATTGCTAGACAAGTCATGACTTGTCTTTAATTTGCTTATTTTTGATGTGGCATAAGCTCACCCAGCCTAATTTAATCTAATTTAACTAATCTAACTTTAAATAAAAAAAATACTATTTGGAGAAAAATAGGAAGCACAGGATTATCTGGAGTTTATCTGGAGAGAGTTCCGGGGGTCAACGCCCCCGCGGCCCGGTCTGTGACCAGGCCTCCTTAGGTCAGTGTCCCAGGATGCGACCCACACCAGTCGACTAACACCCAGGTACCTATTTTACTGATGGGGAACATAGACAACAGGTGAAAAGAAACACGTCCAATGTTTCTACTCTGGCTGGGAATCGAACCCAGGCCCTCACCATGTGAAGCGAGAGCGTTAACCACCAGGCCACCAGAGCCACCTGAGCAAATCATAAACTACTGATGTTTTGAAATGAGAATGGGTTGTTATTTCTATATACAGGAATCAGTTGGGGCTTATATGCTTTGCTCAGTTCCAACTGGAGACAAGAAATGCCAAAATTGGGGAGGTGGTGAAAGCCTCTGAATTAGAAATGCCTGTGTCATTAGGGACAAAACCCGGTTTGCTGTTGTAGGCCCTGGCCTAAGGTACTAAAATGGAACTGAAAGACAAGAATAGTACCCTACAGCAAAGGCGAAGCTTGTAGAGTAGAAACAAATAATCTGTGGTTGCAATCATGTAACTGGAATCTGAGGTAACATGAGGTGAAATTTCTTTAGACATCCAACAATCATGCTGGAAACTATGCATAAGAGGATCTCCATGCTTAGTCCTGAGTAAAGTCCACACTGTAATACAGCAAGCCTTCTGCAACACCAGAAGAGCATGCCATTGCATACATGCACAAACCCCAGAACAACTGACAACAGGAAAGCTCAAGATTAGTTACAGGTGGAGGCCTGCCCCCACAAACCTAAGTGGATGACCCGTCAATCCCAGACATCAATCTGGTCTTGAGAGGCATCCCCCGTCCGCACAGAGTGGCAAGGTATCTGGAGATTATCTGGAGAGAGTTCCGGGGGTCAACGCCCCTGCGGCCCGGTCTGTGACCAGGCCTCCTTAGGTCAGTGTCCCAGGATGCGACCCACACCAGTCGACTAACACCCAGGTACCCATTTTACTGATGGGGAACATAGACAACAGGTGGAAAGAAACACGTCCAATGTTTCTACTCTGGCTGGGAATCGAACCCAGGCCCTCACCGTGTGAAGCGAGAGCGTTAACCACCAGGCCACCAGAGCCGTGAATATTTAAACTAGGTGATACACCCACTGCTATGCCAAGACTAATAAGACAGATGGGAGAGGGAGTTTGGATCCCTCTGGGGAAATAACTCCAGCAACAATGCCCCATAACAGCCTGTAGTGATTGTGGACCCCTTCTAAACAAATAAAAGGATGGCTAGCCAAACAGAGAGCAGAATGTACAAAACAATGTATGTACAAAGGATGGATGCCAGGAGAAATGTCTTGAGGTTGGTTATCAACAACAGAGACAACCAGAGAAGAGTACATGTCTGCTAAGCCCCAGGTGAGGTGTTGATGATGACCTGTAGGGATTCCTGCCCAAGCTATATGACAGTTGGGTCCATCCTTGTAAATATTTTGCACAGTCAAATGATAATTACTGAAATAATTTATGTTCTCAGCTGTTGCTCAGTTGGTAAAAAGTCTAGAGGTTTAAGCAGTGTACAAAACCTCCCTGCAAGCTTGTCACAGAAACTAGCACATAACTCATAACTGGAAACTTGAAAGGTAACACAAGGAAGGGTTGTCAACTTGTAAGCCTATCTATTTTTACAACCATTTTGCAGATGTTTATTGTATATACATATTCTAGTTGCAGACAGTTTACCCAAATAAGCCAAGGTAATCCACTTGATAACAACTATAAAGAATTATTAAAATTCTCTGTACTACATAGTACTGTACAGTGGAACCCCGGTTTTCTTCTTTAATCCGTTCCAGAAGGTCAGCCAAAAACCGATTTGAAGAAATAATGTAAATCCAATTAATCCGTTCCAGACACCCAAAAATATTAACAAAAAATACATTTTATAGAGAATAACTATAGTTTTACAAACAGCCTCTCCTCAATGATGGAGTTCTGTTCCTGAGACCACGTCGTTAAACGAATTCGTCACTAAGTGAGGACCATACTACAATGGTAGTGAATTTTGTGTCAACCATCTTTGATATTGTTTTAATGTCACCTTTGCACCATTAATAACATTTCTGATATATTTTTAAATGTTTATGCAGTAGCATACTGTATAATGAAATAAACAGAATATAGGAAATCAGCTCTAATATACATTATTGAGGTATGAATGCTGGTCAGAGAGCCCGTTGTAAGTCTGAGGCATTGGTTAACGAGTATGTCGCTAAGTGAGGAGAGGCTGTACAGAAAACAATGAGAAATAAATATAAATGACTAATGAAATGGATAAATGAGCATTTAACATCACTTTTACCTTTACTGAAGACTCTTGTTGGCGTATGGAAGACGGTGAGGAGGGGAGAGGGAGGAGAGGTTGTTGTTTGGAAGGGAAATCCCCCTCCATAAGGACTTCAGGTATCAAAACCCTATCTGGGGTTACTTCCCTTCTTTGTCTTCTACTGGCACTAGGACCAGCTTGAGTCACTGGACCCCTGTTGCACAAAAAATCTGTTCAGAGAGGCCTGTTTATGGTGTCTCTTTAAGATTTGCCTAAAATGGGACACTGCATTGCCATTGAACATGTTGCTGACATGTCTTGCAATAGCTTTGTTAGGGTGATATTTTTCCATAAAACTCTGCACCTCACTCCACTTTGCACAAATGTCCTTAATAACCCTTTATCGGGTTGGGCCAAAAAAATTCGGTATTGATTACGTGTTTTTGGCGCGTGTCATACTTCGCGCCCCGCGCGGCCAGCTTCCCGTTCTTTAGTTCCAACCAATCACAAGCCTTCCCTGAGTCTCTTCAGCTAAGTACAGTTCGCTTCTGCCGCCTTCCCATTGGTTGAGAGATCAAAATATAAACACTAGCGGCTTGGCTTCGAACACACGCGCATTTTTCCCTCCACCCTTGCTAATCTACTCTTGGATTATATATTCTACAATGTCGGTAAGTACTGATTGTTGTGTTTAGTGCTTACATGAATAGTTTAGGCATATTTTGATATATACCTAAAGTCCGTGTGAAGCATAATATGAGTGTAGCATGCAGTTGAAAAAGTGCATGCATTTTAGTCGAATTATTTCGGTATTGCGCGAGTTTCCGGGAATGTCCAATTTTAGTCAAATAAATATTTATAAAAAATTTTCAATTGCATATATGAACTCTGTAGTGGTCTGGATTTATACAGGAGGTTTCTATTGTCCTTCCAGTTCCATGAGAGGCTGTTTTATGGGGAGCAGTCGACCAGCAGGTCGAGGTATATCTGCGTTTCTGAAGACAGTGACTCAGAACCAGAGGTAGACGAACCAGAATTGCTGGATAGTGGTGATGAATACTTGCCAACGGATGCACAGGATGCAGAGATGTCAACTGATGATGAGGAAAAAAGGGGAAGAAAGGCCAGCCAAAAAGCAGAAAGTAATGAGGAAAAAGAAAACTTTTAGGATTGAGGCATACCCGGATGAGGAAGAGATCCATGAGAATATTGCTCTTCAAGTTTCATCTGAGTGGACCGTAGATGACATTGAAAATGATCCTTTGCCGGCATATGAACATGAAAAGCCTCTTGCAATTAGGTCTCCATATGAGTATTTTCGTATGTTCGTTACTCCAGCCATGATAGATAACATAGCATATCAAACAAATTTGTATACAAGGCAACAAGACGTAAATAGTACTTTTTCAACAGATTCTGAAGAGATCATGAGGTTCATAGGTATTTTGTTGTTCATGGGTATTAATTCACTACCATCCCTCGAAGACTATTGGAAAGCTGGTTTTAGGAGCCAACAGGTTGCAGATAGCATGGCGTCTAAGAGGTTTAGGTACCTTAGAAGTCATATTCATTTCAATGACAACACAAAAAAGGATAATGACAGATTCTACAAAGTAAGGCCTCTTTACACTGAACTAAACTAATGCTTGCTTGAAAATTCCAGCTACACCCAAGCAATCTATTGATGAAGTCATGGTTGGTTTCAAGGGTAAAACTGCTGGAAACCTAAGGCAGTACATCAAAACAAAACCAGATAAGTGGGGTTTCAAACTTTTTTGTCGTGCAAGTCAAGATGGACTCATACATGATATACTCATGTATCAAGGCACAACAACTTTTGACACACATCCCATACAGCTGCCACAGGAAGAATGTAAACTTCCAATAAGTACAAAGATTGTTCTGGCACTTGCACAAACTATGAACAAGACAAACACATCAGCAATCTATGCTGACAATTTCTTTTCAAGTAATGCCTTTGGTCAAGCTACTAAGAGATAAGTATAACTGCAGATACACTGGAACAGTACGTGACAATAGATGTGGTAAGCCACATCTGGTGCCTATCAAACAAATGGAAAAAAACAGTGTGGTCAGGGGCAATTTTTGCTTCAACAACAATGATGGTGTCCTTGTTGTACGATGGAAGGACACCAAAGTTGTGACTTTAGTGACAACTGATATTGGGGTCAAGCCCATGAGTCTTGTTGAGAGATATAACAAGGGTACAAAGAGGAAAGAGAAAATATCGTGCCCTGCAGTCATCAAGAACTATAATGCAAACATGGGAGGTATTGAACAAAAGCAACATGTTGGTGCATCTCTACAAAACACCAATGAAATCAAAACGTTGGTACATGCGGCTATTTGCCTATATTATTGATCTTGCTGTTGTGAATGCATGGGTGCTTTATTGCCGTGATTCTCGAGCAATAAAGCAAAAGTGTATGCAACTGAAGTATTTCAGGAATTCTATCTCTGAAATTGCAAGGTCTAAAGGACAAAACCTTAGAGGGAGCAGCCTAAGAACAACTCCAAGACCTTCACCAACTAATTCACCATGTACTTCCAATGGTGTTGGCATAGTGAAACCTGGGAGGGGAACACGTACAGAAATGCCTGATGACAGTGTTAGGAAAGACATGACTCTAATGCACTTCCCAATGGCAGGGCAAAGGCCGTTTACTTGCAAGTATTGCAGCACCTCGAAAAAAACGGTAACATCGTCATTCGTCTGTAGTGTATGCAAAGTAAATCTGTGCATAAAGACTGATAGAAATTGTTTCACAGACTTCCATCTTGCCAATTAGCAATATAGAATCATTGGTCTTCCAAATGAATCTCAGGAATATAGGGATTGAAACTTGCATCACTTTGCAATTTGGCATTGTTGATATTTGCTTCCTTTTTATATTTTTGTAAGTATTAAAAAATGTTTTGATAAAAGTTCCATTTATGTTTTTTATATTGTCTGTTTGTATATTAAATTTAAAAAATTGTTTTGGTGTGTTTTATTAACAATTGCAAGTTTGCAACATAGAATTTTTTAATCACTTTGTCGGGGGCGGCCTAATATTTTCGGTCTTCGGAGATTGGCAATTGCTCGAAAACTAACCATCAGAAATCAATTTATATGGGATCAGTGACCTTGTATTGAGTTACTCTATCCACCATAGGGAGTTCAGTTCGAATTTCAAATTTTCGGACCCCTTGCGCGATGAAGGGTTAATTGCTGAAGAAGGCACATTCTCCCCTCTATCTTCCTCCTCCTCCTCTGAAGCAATTTTCTCAGCTAAGGTCTGTTGCTGTTCCAGATGAAGGTCTTGCAGCTCTTCAGTGGTTAGCTCTTCCCTGTGGTCATCCACCAACTCTTCCACATCCTGGCCACTCACTTCCAACCCATGGATTTCTCCAAAGACACAATAGAATTCTTTCTTGAATTCTATTGTGTTTCTCACATTCTTTACCAATGGGGTGGCACACAGAACTTTCTTTGGCCCTATGGTGGCTTATTTAGCAGTCACAAGTACAAAACACAATGGATTATTACAAAATGTTTCGGATGAACGCGCTGAGTAATGCTCACTGAATGAGTAACAAAGGCAGACTCAATCACAAATGTATGAGTGGTTGCGTCCTGCAGGCAGGTGGACGTACCTGGTACAGACGATTTCTAAGCGGATGTACAAAAATGAAGAAAATTTCGCTGAAAAAAGTGGTCAAAAATTGAAATGCATGATAACCAGACCAAACGAAAACCAAGGTTCCACTGTACTTCCTTTGGAGACTTTAGTGGATGATTAAATAATGTCAACAATATGCAACATCTGTACAGAAAAAGAATTACTGTACATAAAGTTTTACTAGATATTAATGACAAACAAAAAAATAAATTAGGCACTAACATATTAAAGAGTTTGTAGAAAACCTACATCTCTTCCTGAGAACAAACAAAATAGATTAGACCCACTTACTTGTAAAGAAGTCTAAAGTAGTTTCTTGGGGGTACAACGATGCCACAATTTACTATTAAACATTCAGAGATAAAACAACTTATTTGCCTGTTGTTACAGGTAGCCTGAGTGATGATGCGATCTGCCTCTTTCACATATTTTTCAGCTGAAATAAAGTGAAATGATCAATAACATAAAGTTGAAAGTCGTTTACCCCATGGCAACACTGTGGGGGTTGCCACATGCTGTGTATTATAATATTTACGATTTTCCAATTTTTCTTAGGAATTTGGATTCCAGCAGGTACATAATGTGGTCTAGAACACACATTTCCTGCACAATGCCTTTCAGCTTACAGCCATTACACAGCAATGTAGTTACACAAAAGATGTCTACAGTATATTGCTTTTTATTGCTTTTAAAAGTTTCACAAAAGCACACACACACACACACACACACACACACACACACACACACACAAGAAAGTCCATTTGTTTCACTTTCCTACTGTTCTACCCTATGTACACATGTATACAGGCACTGGTCAAGTTCCTAGAAATGTTGCAGTCTGTGGACATCCCTGAAATACAGCTTCATTTATAAGTGTGTTAAACAACCATGGTCTACCTGGAGTCTACCTGGAGGGTATTCTGGGAATCAATACCCCTGCGGCCCAGTCCATGACCAGGCCTCCCGGCGGATCAGGACTTGATCAACTAGGCTGTTACTGCTGGATGCATGTAGTCCAACGTATGAACCACAGCCCAGATGATCCAGCACTGACTTTAGGTATCTATTCAGGTCCCTCTTGAAGACAACCAGGAGCCTATTGGTAATTCTCCTTATGGCTGGTGGGAGGCTGTTGAACAGTCTTGGTGTCATTCTCGAGACTGCTTAAGGCTTCAAAGGAATTGTGAACGGGGATGGTGTACTCATTATCACCTACTGTCACCATGGGACGGTTTGACTGGGGCGCTCGAATTCCCCCGAATTGGAAGAATGAGCCTGGTTCTGGTTATTTTGAGAACCACGATGTCTATTTCCTCTACGGGTTCTGGGGTTGGAACGGCCACGGAAAGACCTAGAGTACTGAAGGTTGTAGAGAGCATTGCACTCAGATGTGTCATGTCCATGTATTCTATGATAAGTACAGTAGGGAAGATCTGACTGGTACTCATCATCAGTACGACGCCTCTTAGGGTAACTATCAGGACAATTAATTGCAATATGGCCACGGAAACCACAGTTGTAACAAGTCCACTGACTATGGTTACTGAATGTACTATGAATACTACGAGGTTTATAATGACTCTGTACACTGGTCCTTGGTGATCGCTGAGATGGTTGACGACCACGATTTGTCGCTGTGGCGCAAACAAGAGGTGGTGCAGACTGAGGCATAGGTGTGAAATTACTTTTGATACATGGGAAAGTACCCTGGGGGCACAAGGAACGTACATGATTTAAGGCTGTAAGGGGTTCCATCGTCACAGTTGGAGGATTAGCCTCATAAGCACACACGGAAGCAGGCGGCATTAGTTCTTTGATTGCTCCAAAAGCTGCTATTTTAGCAAACGATGCTGTGGATGGTTTATAGACTCTGACAATCCTCCTGATCCTGTACTCTCTACCTCTAATACTCAGTCAGACGATCAACCTGAATGTCGTTATTCCCTACATACACGACAGGTATTGAGAAATCCTCAAGTATCATTTGTAACTACCAATTCAGATTTGCCTCAAATACAGCATGAGTTAGCCAGTGCTACAGAGTTTGATCCTCCCAGAGATGACACCCATTCTGCATATGTCAATCTCACCCTAGCAGAGTTGGGGTTAAATGTAAATAACCTGTATAGATGAATAATTACAGTATCAGCTTATCAGTATTCAAGAATTTTTTTTTTGTGTTCACGTTCTCTCCGAATTCTGAGAGTTAACAGTCTAGATTTGAGTGCACCGAATCTGCCTTTCTGTTAAACACTTCTTTCTTTGTATATATTCCTTCCTCAGAATTCGTAGATCACATGAATACAGATCGATCGATCAAATTTTTTTTTATCACTTCTATTGTGTAATCCCAACGTTGAGTTTCATTCGATGAGTTGTGCTATATTATACCTTGTATTGCATTACAGTTTCAGTTACGTAAGCTTCCATTCCAATGTTCTACTTATGTATGTTATAATGTTCAATTGTTGTGTACTTTGAAATTGTATAGAATCAGGCCCAAGCTTACAACCACTGCCTCTCTAGTTTGTATTAGTTGTATGATCGGGACGACATATGTTAGCGTTCGACGAACTCTCATGTAGTAACCAGTTCCTAGTAACCAGTTTCCAGTAACCTGTGTACAGTAGATGGACTTCACTACCAAACCGTTCTCTGCGGAATCAATGACTGTATTCATATTGTGATGACCTAGCAGGATTTCAAACACCCCTCACACCATAAGCACTGGGTGGTGTCAGTCAGGCTAGGGGCAGAGAGGAGGAGGACAGGCTGTTGGCGGCTTTTCCCATACTTCCTGTTTTATATTATACGTCTACCAGCCTTACGTGAGTATTCTACCCTATCCAGTGTCGAAAAACCCAAATGACATTGGGCCCCAGGTACACTTACTGTGTTTCTCTTAAATGTACTTAATGGCACCCCTACTTCTCCCATTTCACTGGGGATAGGTTGAATAACCTGCAATGTCTTTTGCATTCATAGGGAGTGTTTTCTTGTTGCAATTAGGGACCAGTCCCTCTAAAATTTTCCAGGTGAAGATTATGATGTATCTCTCACCTTGTGCTCAGTAGACAAGTCAATAATGCTTCAAGTGCTTTCCCACAGTAGTTTAAGTGTTTGGCAGTAGCTTATATGCACAGTAGGTTCTCTGTACATTCTTTCTGATCTGCAATTTCACCTGTCTTGAATGGGGATGTTAATGTACTGCTGTATTCAAGCTATGAGAGAAATTTGTGATTTAAAAGGATAATCATTTGGCTGGCCAATCTCTTGCACTTGAATGTTCTCAGTATCCATCCTTTCCACTTGCCTTGCAGATGTGATCCTTTGAAGCTGGTTGTGATCATTGAAGCTTGGACATCCTCAGACAATATCCACTCCCAGGTCATTCACATTCTTGTCTGCTCTATTTGTGCAATTAGATGTTTATAGTATACTCAAGTCTAGGTATTATTTCTCCAGTTTTCAATATGAGTAGTTGGAATTTGTCTTCACTTAGTTATCACATTGTTCTCCGCCGGCCATTGGAAAATCCTTGGTTTATATCTTCTTGGAAGGTTTGGGCCATGTTTCCAACAGATGACATCTCATGTCAGATCTAGTATCATCTGCAAAAGATGATACGGTTGCCATGGGGGTGGGATTTACAATTATCTGTCTATGTCTGATATAGAATGAGGAACCCTGATAGGGCGAGTTACTGTGCCTTGTGGAAAATGAAAGGCTCTTCATTGCGGCAGCTTCTGATCTTACTCTGTTTACCACTACTCTTTGTGTTCAGATTGGTTTAGAAAGTTGAAATACATCGCCCACTTGCCAGTATTCCCTTTGCATTGGCATTTTTGTGTACTGTCCACACCATGATGCACTTGTCAAAGGTCTTTTGTAAAAAATCTTTGTTTATACATCTGCATTCTGTTTCGCTTTTGCAGTGATTCAAGACCATATCATAGTAGTCCAGTAGGTGGGAGAGGCAGGAGCAGCAACCTGCTCTGAAGCCCATGTTGCCCTGGATTATGGCAAATTTTGTTGGGGAATCCAAGTTGGTTTGCAATCCTGCTTTCTTAGAAACTCTTTCAAAGATTTTTATGATGCGGGACATTGGAGCTATTGGTCTATAGCTTTTAGCTATTGCTTTTCTGCCACCTTTATGGAGTGGGGCTATATCCGTTGTTTTTGTGACTGCAGAAACTTCACCTGGTGGGTCTCATGCTCGTTTACATGGTGACATCACATATTTGTCTAGGCCTTTTTGCTAGAAAATAGTCTTCCCTCTCTCCCTCATACTCCCTGAGCCTATATCCACTTAAATTTTTTTTTTTTAAATTACTATATCAACCTTTTCCATTGGCATTTGTAACAACTGCCACACTGCTTCCCAATCCACCCTATATACCAGTAAGCCTTTTCTAATTCATAAATGCAACAGTAAAACCTTATCTTTATCTAAAAATTGATCATTAACATGCTTCGATGTACACACTTGCCTCTACCTCATCATTTACCCTTCTAAATCCTCTTGTTTCCTCTGCTAATCCTTTATCTGTCCCACCCTTAATTCTATCAATAATAACTGCCATACACTTTGCCTGGTATACTCTTTATTCCCCAATAATAATAATTAATATATAATAAATGTATATGATAATATAATGATATAATAATAATATAATTACTGTAGTATTAGTGCCTTGGCATGGACAGTTGATGAGTGAATGGTTTTGAAGTATTTTTTTCTTTTTGAGGTTAGCATATCTAGGGTGGAAATGGCACAATTTATTAACAAAAAAAAACTTCTGTATATAATTATGGTTAATAATACTATACATACAATATTGGGAGCAAGGGTCTAGTAACCCCTTCTGTATACATTACTAAAGTTAAAAAGAGAAACTTTTGTTTTTCCTTTTGGGCCACCTTGCCTCTGTTGGATATGTGCTGGCTTTGTGAAAGAAGTATAACGAAAAAGAAAGAAAAAAACGAAAGGTTCTCTTTTTAACTTTAGTAATATATACAAAAGGGGTTACTAGCCTCTTGCTCCTGGCACTTTAATCACCACTTACAACACACATGGCATACAGAGGAAGAATTCTGTTCCATTTCCCCAAGGAGATAAGAGGAAATAAACAAAGAGAAGAAAACTAGAAAGAAAAATGAAGAAAACTAAAAGGGTGTGCCTATATATGCTTGTACAGTGGAACCTCTGTTTTCGTGATTAATTCATTCCCGAAGGTCTGATGAAAACAAAATTGTACGAAAACTGAAGCAATATTTCCCATAAGAAATAATGTAAATCCAATTAATCCGTTCCAGACACCCTAAAATATTAACAAAAATACATTTTATAGATAATAACTATAGTTTTACATACAAAAAACAATGAAAAATAAATATAAATGACTAATGAAATGGATAAATGAACATTTAACATCACTTTTACCTTTATGGAAGACTCTTGTTGGCGTATGGAAGACGGTGAGGAGGGGATAGGGAAGAGGAGAGGTTATTGTTTGGAAGGGAAAACCCCTCCATAAGAACTTAAGGTATCAAGGCTCTATCTGGGGTTACTTCCCTTCTTTGTCTTTTACTGGGGAGACTGGCCACGCATATGCCACTTTTGTACTTTGCTATGAGTTCTTTCTTAAATTCTATCATGTTTCTCGCCTTCTTTATCAAAGGGCTGGCACTTGGAACTTTCTTTGGCCCCATGGTGGCTTATTTAGGAGTCTAACTCAATAAACAAGTACAAAAAACAATGGATTATTACAAAATGTTTTGGATGAACGCTCAGGGTAATGCTCACTTAACGAGAAACAAAGCCAGACCGAGTCAGAACACATGGGATGCTTTGTGTGGGCGTGGGCAGACGGACGTGTTAGGTATGGTGGACCACTGTTGTCGAAAACCGAATCCTACGAAAACCAGAGCATACGAAAACCGAGGTTCCACTGTACATGCATGTGTAGTGTGACCTAAGTATAAATAGAAGTAGCAAGACATACCTGAAACCTTGTATGCTTATGAGACAGAAAAAAGACAACAGCAATCCTACCATCATGTAAAACAATTACAGGCTTCTGTTTTACACTCACTTGGCAGGATGGTAGTACCGCCCTGGGCAGTTGCTGTCTACCAACCTACTACCTTGGATTTTTTAAATTATATTTTTTTTTTTTTTCAACAAGTTGGTCGTCTCCCACCGAGGCAGGGTGACCCAAAAAAGAAAGAAAATCCCCAAAAAGAAAATACTTTCATCATCATTCAACACTTTCACCACACTCACACATTATCACTGCTTTTGCAGAGGTGCTCAGAATACAACAGTTTAGAAGCATATACGTATAAAGATACACAACATATCCCTCCAAACTGCCAATATCCCAAACCCCTCCTTTAAAGTGCAGGCATTGTACTTCCCATTTCCAGGACTCAAGTCCGACTATAAGAAAATAACCGGTTTCCCTGAATCCCTTCACTAAATATTACCCTGCTCACATCCAACAGATCGTCAGGTCCCAAGTATCATTCGTCTCCATTCACTCCTATCTAACACGCTCAGCAACGCTTGCTGGAAGTCCAAGCCCCTCGCCCACAAAACCTCCTTTACCCACTCTTTCCAACCCTTTCGAGGACGACCCCTACCCCTCTTTCCTTCCCCTATAGATTTATATGGTTTCCATGTCATTCTACTTTGATCCATTCTCTCTAAATGACCAAACCACCTCAACAACCCCTCTTCTGCCCTCTGACTAATGCTTTTATTAACTCCACACCTTCTCCTAATTTCCACACTCCAAATTTTCTGCATAATATTTACACCACACATTGCCCTTAGACAGGACATCTCCACTGCCTCCAACCGTCTCCTCGCTGCTGCATTTACCAACCAAGCTTCACATCCATATAAGAGTGCTGGTACTACTATACTTTCATACATTCCCTTCTTTGCCTCCATAGATAACGTTTTTTGACTCCACATATACCTCAATGCACCACTCACCTTTTTTCCCTCATCAATTCTATGATTAACCTCATCCTTCATAAATCCATCCGCCGACACGTCAACTCCCAAGTATCTGAAAACATTCCACTTCTTCCATACTCCTCCTCCCCAATTTTGATATCCAATTTTTCTTTATCTAAATCATTTGATACCCTCATCACCTTACTCTTTTCTATGTTCACTTTCAACTTTCTACCTTTACACACATTCTCAAACTCATCCACTAACCTTTGCAATTTTTCTTTAGAATCTCCCATAAGCACAGTATCATCAGCAAAAAGTAACTGTGTCAATTCCCATTTTGAATTTGATTCCCCATAATTTAATCCCACCCCTCTCCCGAACACCCTAGCATTTACTTCTTTTACAACCCCATCTATAAATATATTAAACAACCATTGTGACATTACACATGAGGTATTATTATTACCTCAACTGCCAGTTGAGGTAATAATAATACCTCATAGTACAGTGTAATAATCTCTTCTCACCTGCTTGAGGATCATCATCTCGGTATGATCCTTGATAAGTATCTGGGTAGGGAATGACATGGACAAACTCTCTCTTTCCTTGTGCCATCCTGTTGAACATCTTTGGACTGATATCAATCAAGTTTCCCAGATTTCCATGATAAGCCCTAGATAAACCAAAGTTTTAAAATTAGAATAGTAATACATTCATATTTGTGCTTTGATTCAACCAGTATACTATCTACATTTATTGTAAGCTCTTTGACAAGGAAACAATTTCATTCCTAAAAAACCAATGTGTAAATAATTCATTTAATAAAAAAAAATTCATACCTCAATGCATGTCTCCTACGAAGACGACGAAAAAGACATACATTCACCAATCATTCATTCTATATCTGACTTGCCAGAAGTGAGCTGACATCATAATTTGGATTAACCCCTTGACTGTCGAAACTCCAAATCCTGAGGTGTCTCCTGGTGTTGAAAAATTTTCGAAAAAAAAAAAAATTCTTATGAAATGACAGAGAATTTTTTCCCAATGGTAATGACACCAAAAGAACAAAATTTGATGGAAAACTTAAAAAATTATGTTCTCACAAAGTTAGCGACCTCGGCGATATTTTCGCCCAATTTGAGCCCTATTTTCGGCTAATTCCATTGTTCCAGTCGACCAAACTCATAGCTATTTCTTTAGAACTACATTTGTTCTATCGACTGAGCACAAGAAACTGCCCATTTACCAATTTCAACTACCCTATAACATGGTCAGAAATTTGCAATTTGGCCAATTTCACACAAATTAAAAAATATGCCAATTTCAAAATAGGGTCCAGAATGAACAATGTAGACATTCCTGGCTCTAAAATAACATTTTCTTTGTTCATCAGTCATGTCTCCAGGCCCCTCTGATATTACTCTTGCTTTCTATTTTGAATTTTTATTCAAACAAAAAAATAGAAGATTTACTGTTATGCAGACTACTGCAATATTGTAATAATTGTATAAATAATGTCAACCCATTCGTGACTGCATATTAGAATGGCTAGTTGGACATTTATTGAACAATGACATCATTTGTTTACTTTTGAACATTGGCAAAAATCAAATATTTCCCCTAATTTGAGCTCCATTTCAAGGTTCTTTTCATAGTAAAACCAATCAAAATCACCTCTATTTCTATAATATGTTTTCCATTCTATCAAATGAGACCACGAAAACGAGAATACAACCATAAATACTATACGAAAATACAAACAAAGTTGGCATTTTAATCCAAAAAAAACGTTTTTTTTTTCTCGTTATGCACTGTGTGCTGCAGGATTTTTTTATTTATATGGTGCACACTGACCACACAGACCCATTCTCTCACATGTGGGCCTACCAGCTTTCTCCTGCTTGATTTGAAGCCGCTAGAATTTTTGAGTATATATACATCAAACACGGTGGTTCGTAAGACGTATATATGCGACCGAAGCAGTCAAAGGGTTAAACTCCAACTGCAACATCCCTAACCCTCCTTTCAGAGTGCAGGTATTGCCTTTCCTACCTCATGGACTAAAGGAAATGAATATGGTGGGCAAAAGTGTAGGTAATTATCAGATAGCTACCCTCCATAAGTTCGAAAGCTACCCATACTGCTACTGCCAAGGAGTTGGAATGTCTTCTTATGTCTCGAGATCAAACTTTGGGCGTTCTCAAGCCCTAGCTAATAAAGAAGTTCTCAAATTTCAAACATCAGAGTTACAAGGATCCACAATGATGAATGGGGCACTTGTGAACCAACTTTTTATGAATGCCACTCTGCAGGTTCAAACATTCAAACAAAATTTATTTTCAAGAATTGTTTCTGCTTTATATCAAATATTTTTTTTTTAACACAGTGGCCATCTCCCACCAGGCAGGGTGATCCAAAAAGAAAAACAAAAGTTTTTCTTTATACATGTAATTATTTATACAGGAGAATGAGTTACTAGCCCCTTGCTCCCAGCATTTTAGTTACCTCTTAAGACAGGCATGGCTTACAGAGAAAGGATTCTTTTCCATTTTCCCATGGTGCCCCGTGGCCTGGTAACTAAAGCTCTCGCTTCACACGGTGAGGGTCTGGGGCTGATTCCCGGCGAGGGTAGAAATACTGGGAATGTTTCCTTACACCGGTTGTCTATGTTCCTCATCAGTAAAATGGGTACCTCGGTGTTAGTCAACTGGTGTGGGTCACATCCTGGGACAATATTGACCTAATTTGCCCGAAATGCTCTACATAACAAGCGGCTTTCTATGTAGTAGTACATGTGTATGTCATTGATGTCAGCTAGGCCTGTATACCCTGTACATGTACTTGTAGAAATAAAGATTTTTTTTTTTTTTTTTTAACAAGTCGGCTGTCTCCCACAGAGCAGGGTGACCCAAAAAGAAAGAAAATTCCCCAAAAAGAAAATACTTTCATCATCATTCAACACCTTCACCTCACTCACACATAATCACTGTTTTTGCAGAGGTGCTCAGAATACAACGGTTTAGAAGTATATACGTATAAAGATACACAACACATCCCTCCAAACTGCCAATATCCCAAACCCTTCCTTTAAAGTGCAGGCATTGTACTTCCCATTTCCAGGACTCAAGTCCGGCTATATAATATAATCGGTTTCCCTGAATCCCTTCACTAAATATTACCCTACTCACATATAAAGATATTATTATTATTAAATATATGTTTATCAAATATCTCCATGGGGAAGTGGAACAGAATTCTTCCTCCGTAAGCCATGCGTGTTGTAAGTGGCAACTAAAATGCCAGGAGCAAGGGGCTAGTAACCCCTTCTCCTGTATATATTACTAAATGTAAAAGGACAAACTTTTGTTTTTCCTTTTGGGCCACCCTGCCTCGGTGGGATACGGCCAGTGTGTTGAATGAAAGAAGAAAGTTTATCAAATATATGTACAGTATTACTTATGAAACTGTAATGACATGATTGCAAACAAACCACACCACAGGCGAGGATAGAACCCACTGTCAGAGAGTCATAAAGCTCCAGACCGACTTGTTTGCCACTGGGAGTTTTATAACTCTCTCACTGCGGGTTCTATCCCCACCCGTGGTATGGTTTATATGTACAGTACTGGACTCAATCTCAGCCAAGAAACTTTCTGTTCACAAGAATTGGAAGTTACAGAGTATGTACTATACTGCTCTTATTGCAGGTTCACTATATGAAAATTTATTTTCATGAGATGCCCAATTTCTACCAGTAATTCCCTATGTTCTATATACATTCTCTCTATTCAATCAGTATGGAATGCATAATGTAAATAGTCCTTTAATGAAGAATTAGGTGTTCATGACCAAACTGAGACTGTTACAGATGCCGTGGGCCTGGAGTGGAAACAATAAATAAATAATAACAATTATAATAATTCTAGGTAGTAGGTTGGTAGACAGCAACCGCCCAGGGAGGTACTACCGTCCTGCCAAGTGAGTGTAAAACGAAAGCCTGTAATTGTTTTACATGATGGTAGGATTGCTGGTGTCCTTTTTTTTTGTCTCATAAACATGCAAGTTTTCAGGTACGTCTTGCTACTTCTACTTACACTTAGGTCACACTGCACATACATGTTTTTTTTTTTTTTTTTTTTTTCAACAAGTCGGTCGTCTCCCACCGAGGCAGGGTGACCCAAAAAAAAAGAAAGAAAATCCCCAAAAAGAAAATACTTTCATCATCATTCAACACTTTCACCACACTCACACATTATCACTGCTTTTGCAGAGGTGCTCAGAATACAACAGTTTAGAAGCATATACGTATAAAGATACACAACATATCCCTCCAAACTGCCAATATCCCAAACCACTCCTTTAAAGTGCAGGCATTGTACTTCCCATTTCCAGGACTCAAGTCCGACTATATGAAAATAACTGGTTTCCCTGAATCCCTTCACTAAATATTACCCTGCTCACACTCCAACAGATCATCAGGTCCCAAGTATCATTCATCTCCATTCACTCCTATCTAACACGCTCATGCACGCTTGCTGGAAGTCCAAGCCCCTCGCCCACAAAACCTCCTTTACCCCCTCTTTCCAACCCTTTCGAGGACGACCCCTACCCCTCTTCCCTTCCCCTATAGATTTATATGCTTTCCATGTCATTCTACTTTGATCCATTCTCTCTAAATGACCAAACCACCTCAACAACCCCTCTTCTGCCCTCTGACTAATGCTTTTATTAACTCCACACCTTCTCCTAATTTCCACACTCCGAATTTTCTGCATAATATTTACACCACACATTGCCCTTAGACAGGACATCTCCACTGCCTCCAACCGTCTCCTCGCTGCTGCATTTACATACATGTACAAGCATATATATACACACCCCTCTGGGTTTTCTTCTATTTTCTTTCTAGTTCTTGTTGTTGTTTATTTCCTCTTATCTCCATGGGGAAGTGGAACAGAATTCTTCCTCCGTAAGCCATGCGTGTTGTAAGAGGCGACTAAAATGCGGGGAGCAAGGGGCTAGTAACCCCTTCTCCCATATAAATTACTAAATTTAAAAAGAGAAACTTTCGTTTTTCTTTTTGGGCCACCCTGCCTTGGTGGGATACGGCTGGTTTGGGGAAGTGGAACAGAATTGTGTCGTAAGAGGTGACTAAAATGCCAGGAGCAAGGGACTAGTAACCCCCTTCTCCTGTATACCTTACTAAATTTAAAAAGAGAAATTTTCGTTTTTCTCTTTCGGTCACCCTACCTTGGTAGGATATTTCTGGTTTGTTGAAAAAATACAATAATATCAATAAATAAATAATAATAATACATACAATAAATAAATAATTAATAATAAGATAAAAAAATAATAGTGAGGAGATGAAGGTACAAGAGCAACTATTATTTCACATTCATAACCAGGGGGTTTTCAATTTAGTCTACCTGGAGTGTTTTGGGGGGTCAACATCCCCAAGACATGGTCCATGACCAGGCCTTGCAGTGGATCAGGGCCTGGTCAACCAGGCTGTTACTGCTGGCCGCATACAATCCAACATATGAATCACAGCCCGGCTGGTTACTTATTCCTATATGAAGTGCATGCTGTACTTTATGAAAATAAAAATTGTGATTTTGATTGGAAATAGTACCATATATCACTCAAGAAAAAAGTGAAAATTATATTATTTATATACAACTTCCTGAGTGTAATAAATATATGAAATAAACAACATTCAATACTAATTTGACTCTCATACTGTGCAAGTCAAATTTAGTCAGCCCTCTTCTAAAGTACAGTGAACCTTTAATATAACGGACCCCAATAAATTGAACAAAATCCACTGGGTAAATTGTACCTTTAACTCCTTTATGCTAATTTTTTTTTTTTTCAGTATAACAATAAACTGAGACGACAGTACTATATTAGGTACAGAGTACTGTAGTGTGTTTTATTGCTTTTTTTAAACATTATTCCCATATTATCCCCATATTAGCCCATTATATCAAGGATTTACTGTATTCTAATTATTCCTGAATAGATCAGTAATATAATACGTATGTCCTTTATTAAAGCTCTTCTCACCTACAGACAATTAAATGATCATATATAATGCCATATATAATATATAATACACTCCATATATAATACACTCTTGAAGTCACTCTGTTTCGCTCCATTCTCTCTACATGTCCGAACCACCTCAACAACCCTTCCTCAGCCCTCTGGACAAGTTTTGGTAATCCCGCACCTCCTCCTAACTTCCAAACTAGAAGGTGCGGTGGCCTGGTGGCTAAAGCTCCCGCTTCACACACGGAGGGCCCAGGTTCGATTCCCGGCTGGTGGAAACATTTCGACACATTTCCTTACACCTGTTGTCCTGTTCACCTAGCAGCAAATAGGTACCTGGGTGTTAGTCGACTGGTGTGGGTCGCATCCTGGGGGACAAGATTAAGGACCCCAATGGAAATAAGTTAGACAGTCCTCGATGACGCACTGACTTTCTTGGGTTATCCTGGGTGGCTAACCCTCCAGGGTTAAAAATCCGAACGAAATCTTATCTTATCTTATCTTACCAAAACTGTTGTCCAGAGGGCTGAGGAAGGGTTGTTGAGGTGGTTCGGACATGTAGAGAGAATGGAGCGAAACAGTGACTTCAAGAGTGTATCAGTCTGTAGTGGAAGGAAGGCGGGGTAGGGGTCGGCCTAGGAAAGGTGGGAGGGAGGGGGTAAAGGAGGTTTTGTGTGCGAGGGGCTTGGACTTCCAGCAGGCATGCGTGAGCGTGTTTGATAGGAGTGAATGGAGACAAATGGTTTTTAATACTTGACGTGCTGTTGGAGTGTGAGCAAAGTAACATTTATGAAGGGGTTCAGGGAAACCGGCAGGCCGGACTTGAGTCCTAGAGATGGGAAGTACAGTGCCTGCACTCTGAAGGAGGGGTGTTAATGTTGCGGTTTTAAAAACTGTAGTGTAAAGCACCCTTCTGGCAAGACAGTGATGGAGTGAATGATGGTGAAAGTTTTTCTTTTTTGGGCCACCCTGCCTTGGTGGGAATCGGCCAGTGTGATAATAAAAAAAAAAATAGTACTGAATAAAATACAAAACCTACTCATCAAAAACAACAACATCCATTCTGTTTGTATAAGATCTTGCCAGTCTCAATGCAAGGTCATTAGCCTCTGATCTGAAAAAAAAAAAAAAAGAGTTCAGCTTTATTTTGTGACAATGTTGTTATATTTTTTATGTAACCTAGCAGAACATACATTCTTTACGACTACCCTTCTTTAGATAAAAAGATACACAAATGTCTTCATATTTAAAATACATGACTAAAAACAATTGTCCCAGGTCACATATATATGGACGGAATTCCGTTCATAAGACCACGTCGGTAAATGAATTCATCGCTAAGCAAGAAGCATATTATAATGGTAGTGGGTTTGCATCAACCATCTTTGATATTGTTTTAATGTCACCTTTGCACCATTTATAACATTTTCAGTATATTTTTAAATGTTTATACAGTAGTATAATGTTTATTGTAATAAACAGAAGAGAGGAAATCAGCTCTGATGTACATTATTTAGATACGCATACTAGTCAGAGACCCCGTCGTAAGTCCAAGTCGTTGGTAAAAGACTACGTTGCTAAGTGAGGAGAGGCTCTATTTCGTATAATCTAATGTAACAAACTTGGAGAGCTGTTAACTTGGACTCTGCTCACTGTAGACATAAGTGTGAGGGGGAAATTTAAACTATACAGACAGAGGATTCTGTGACTGGTAGTAAAATCACCCATTATTCACTTGCTCCATGAAGCGAAATATCAATTAAAACCAATAAAAAAAATCTGGCTGAACAAAGCCTTAACATGTATGTTTAATGGGGTGTCTGATTAAAATAGCTATGAAGCGGACCAAACCTATTACATCACACGGTTACTTGGTCTGGTGATGCATTCGATAAAATGGACTAACACTTCTTAATAGTAGCAAGTTTGTATAGTCCAAAGTTAATCCTGGATGTGTCCACTTTCCTTGTTCCTGGGCAGAGGGTGAGTGATTGCCTGCATCTGTTATTGTCTGTGCACAAGCTCACACCACTGTCATTTCATCTTCAATTTTCCTCTGGATTTACAGTGCTTTTAATAATTTCAGTAAAGTACTGTGTACAATGTTATTAACAATGACCTTTAAAGCAAGTCATAGTGCCATGAAGAAGCATGTGACTTAAACTGTTAAGCAGACTTGAATTAATAAGGAAGCTGGAAGAAATTGACAGCAGTATATGCTAGTGTCTACAAGCCCATGAGAGAAGCAGTTTCAATGTATTAGTGGTGGTTATAACCAATGCATACACAACCAGAAACGAACACACTGCCATAACCTGTTCAGTGTTTTTAGTGTACTTTTGCAGATTCTTTTAGAAGTTGCAGGGTCTCCAGGACTGTAGCTCATGTAAATATATACTTACCCAGAGTTAACAAGGTAGCACACACTAAGTACGTCTGGAAAATAGCTGATGAGCTGCTTGACATACTTGGTGAGAGAATCATTAACAAAACCTTGTGCAGAAACCAAGGTTGCCATCTGATTTTTTCCTGCTGTCACAACTTGTGGATGGCAATGTCCCACTGAAAACAACAGTGCCACTGGTTACTAATGGTAGCATTAGGTTCTACGGAATTTAAAAAAAATTTCTTCAGCGTGAGGGGAGTGAAATGTTCTAAAAGCAGAGGTTAAACAAATTTAGCAAAAAAATTAAAATATGACAAAAAATCAACTCTTAAAACAAGGAACCCATTTTGCTCTATTAAAAGTACAGGTGTAAATGATATTGGGGGGTCCTTGATTGAACTTTGTATAGAAAGGGGTTTAGTATTAGGCAATACATATTTAAAGAAAAAAAAAGGATAAATAAGTACATACAAGATATGATATAGGGCATAAAAGAATAAAGAATAAAGATTTTATTTCTTTGCAAAGGTTACAATGTGTAATTACAATTTTGATTTGTTAAGTATAAAAAAAGCCACTAACATGCTGGGGCATTTTGGGCAGACTAATCCTATTACATAATAACTACTTAAGTCTAGACAAGATAAGAGTGATTAACTTTTTAATAAATCTTTACTTTATCTTAATACTAATGTGAGGTAGTCAAGGTGGAGGTTTATAAGAATAATAATCTTGAAGGCACACATTATAAAAAAAATATTACAATTAATATTCCACAGTAATATTTTACATATTGGCAGATGTTTATGTGTGTAACTTGACTCACGAAATCGTAATGACACGATTGCAAACAAACCATACCACGGGTGGGGTTTGAGTCTTAAAACTCCAGACCACTGCTAACGTGATGGTCTGGAATTTTGAGACTCTGACCGTGGGTTCAAACCCCACCTGTGGTGTTTTTTTTTTTACATGTGTAATATTGTCAGTATTTTAGCAAGTCCTTCAACACTATAAAAACAGTAACATGGTAATGGAAAGTAAGCAAATTCTGTGGCTTTCTGTGAATTCATAAAAACTTCTTTTATTTTACTTTTAGTTTCACTTTAACCAATCTCCTTCACTGTGTATCAGTCATATATACAGTACACTACTGTGCGGCAAGTTGCATCATGCTAAAACTTACCATGTGCAATATTTGAGACACAATCAAGATACTGAACCCCCAAGCTGTCTGTCATATACTGCTTCTGTGCACGTACAATCTTGAGAGGAGCAGTGTCACAGTGCAGGCTACTTACAGTGCTACTGGGAATGAAAATACAAAAAAAATGTCAACTCACTCTATTCATCATAGTTTTCAATAGTGAGAAATTAAACCTAAGTCCTCTCATCTCATAATGTTAGTACAGTATGTAGCAGTGACCAATAAGTAAAGCTTTTGTAATGAGGTCATGGTTTCAGTTGTCCTAAATAGCTGCCTAATAAGTCAGCATCTGTGTGAGTGTGAGATGAATCTTACTGCAGGCAAATACATCGTCCATACCTAACATGGACTTTGAGCATGGTGAGTTGATTTCCTGTACTGTATAGGCAAGTTTTCCTGGTTATGTGTGAAAAGGGTTGACAGTATTAGTTCAAAATGATCTACTAGGGTATCTGCTCATTCCCAGGGAGTTAGGCAAAGTATCCCATTATTTGTGATTTGGAAGAATGACAGTATTGAGTGGACTGTTACGATGTAATGCTGCCCATGCTTTTGTTGTTGGTGAGGTGGGTGTGAGATTTGCACAGAACTGTGTCTGCAATTCTCACTTTGATTTTAGCAATACTTCTTCAGCTGCTGCTGCCTGTCAAAGACTTACCCAATTTTGTAATGATGATCGTCATTGTTTTTGCATGGCTCTACATCTCATTGCAACTGTCCATGCACAATCAGGGTTTTCCATTTATTTTTGTGAGAAGATGTGGCAGAATGGTTTAAATCTGCATGGATTTCAGAGTCTTAACTCTACGTTTGTGTATCATACATCTTAATTGGATTCACCCACAGGGCATTCCATTTTGGAGTTAAAAATGGATACAAAAGTGGCTCAAAGTTTACAGTGCCCCGTGGCCTGGTGGCAAAAACCCAAGGGGTGGAAACATTGGGTGTGTTTCCTTACACTGATTGTCCATGTTCACCCATCAGTAATAATGGGTACCTGGGTGTTAGCCGATTGGTGTGGGTCGTATCCTGGGACAAAACTGACCTAATTTGCCAAAATGCTCTGCATAACAAGCGGTTTTCTATGTAGTAGTATGTCACTGATGTCAGCTAGACCTGTATTCCTTGTACATGTAGTTGTAGAAATAAAGATATACAGTGGACCCCCGGTTAACGATATTTTTTCACTCCAGAAGTATGTTCAGGTGCCAGTACTGGTCGAATTTGTTCCCATAAGAAATATTGTGAAGTAGATTAGTCCATTTCAGACCCCCAAACATACACATACAAACGCACTTACATAAATATACTTACATAATTGGTCGCATTCGGAGGTAATCGTTATGCGGGGGTCCACTGTATTATTAAGTTGAGGAATTTCATGATGAGTGATTTGTGGCCACTTTCAACATCAGGTCCAATATGGCATTCAGTCTCACGTTTAAAATGGGCTGACCCAACATATATATTGAGTGATGATTCATAGTTTTGTAATTAAAATATGTGGGAAGGTATGGCAGAGGGGATTAGGTAGTGAGGTAGTTATGTTTATTAATTTATTTATTTATTTATTTATTAACAATTTGAGCACACATACAGAGGTACAAAAAAATACAGATAAGAGCAGCATGCCAAAGCCACTTATACTATGCATAGCATTACGGGCTGGCTTAAAATTAACTTAAGATTAACTAAGCAATGATGAAATCAGTGATAAAACATACATTAATGTAAACAGATTACTATAAAGCACAAGTGAGTATTACAAAGACAGGTCATATGGTTGCATGCATTGTCGTACATTCAGTAGAATGGAGTATTCTGTTAGGTAGTGTATTTAAAAAATAATAAAGTTAGATTGGGTTTTAGGTTTAACATTTATGTGATATAATTGTGAGAAACATTTAAGATATACAATTTATAAGGTTCAGTTATTCAGTATTTATTTGGTTTTGGGTGAGTAAGTGATCTTTGAGAAGAGACTTGAATTTATAAACAGGTAGTGTTTCTTTTATATTTACAGGTAATGAATTCCAGATTTTAGGGCCTTTTATGTGCATTGAGTTTTTGCATAGTGTGAGATGGACACGAGGAACATCAAAGAGTGATCTGTGCCTTGTGTTATGGTCATGTGTTCTGTTGAGGTTGGCAAGGAGATGTTTGAGGGGAGGGTTAATATCAGAGTTAAGTGTTCTATGTATGTAATAGGTGCAGTAATAAGTATGGATGTTTTGTATGGTGAGTAGGTTTAGTGTATTGAATATTGGTGGAGTGTGCTGCCTGTAGTGAGAATTTGTTATCATTCTAACTGCAGCCTTTTGTTGGGTAATTAGTGGTCTGAGATGGTTACTTGTTGTTGAGTCCCATGCACAAATTCCATTTATTTATTTATTTATTTATTTATAATTTGAGCACACTTACAGAGAGTGATATAGGGCCAGGAGGGCTGACTGTGGAGCATAGTACCGTATCTTCGATAGTATGCCTACAGTCTTGGAAATTTTCTTAGAAATTTGCTGTATATGTGTATGAAATTTGAGTCTATTATCAAGGTGGATTCCTAAGAATTTTCCCTCTGTTAGCTTTGTGATAGGTGATCCGTTTATCATTATGTTAAGAGGGACATCTGTAGCTCTGTTACCAAACTGAATGAAGTAGGTTTTGTCAATGTTTAGTGTAAGTTTGTTAGTCCTCATCCAGGTAGATATTTTCTGTAATTCGGTATTTACAGTATTGGCTAGCGTGACTGGGCTCGGGTGGGAGAAGACGTATGTAGTGTCATCTGCAAATAGTGTGGGTTTGAGTAATTGCGAAGCATTTGGTAGGTCATTTATGTATAGGAGAAAGAGAAGAGGGCCAAGGACACTTCCCTGTGGGACACCAACTGTAATTGGTTGTGCAGAAGAGTTTGCCCCATTTGCATACACATATTGGCTTCTGTTGCTGAGGTATGACTTGAGGTAGTTGAGGGAATGCCCTCTTATACCATAGTGTGACAATTTTACGTGGAGCAAGTCATGGTCAACTGTATCAAAAGCTTTACGTAAGTCAATGAAGATCCCCAGTGGGACTTCTTTTTTCTCTATTGCAGTGTATATATGTTCTAGCATGTGTATAATAGCATCATTAGTATTTTTATTAGGCCTGAATCCAAATTGGCAGGGGTTGAGTATGTTTTGGGAGATAAGGTAGGAGTAGATTCGTTTATGAATTAATTTTTCGAAGATTTTTGAGAGAGGGTGTAAGTTGGATATTGGCCTATAGTTATTCAACTCTGTTTGGTCTCCTCCTTTGTGGATCAGGGTGACCCTTGCTATTTTGAGTACTGTAGGGAAGGTGGAGGATTCAATGGATTTGTTAAAGAGTGTTGCAATGATTGGTGATAGCACTTGTGACACTTTTTTGTATATAAAGGGTGGTAAGGTATTTAAATTTCCTGCCTTGTTTTTTAGTGTGTTGATAATAAGGGAGACTTTGTATGGGTTAGTCGGAGCTAGGAACAGTGTGTTCGGGTAGTTGCCGGTGAGGTAGTCATTTGGTGGGGTATCTGAGCTTGGGATTTTATTGGCAAGGTTTTGTCCTATAGTGGAGAAGAAATCATTGAGTCTGTTTGCTGTTTCTGTTGGTGGGAGTTGGGGTTCATCTGATTTTGCTAATTTTATTTCGCTATTTCGTGATATCTTTTTTGTTCCTAGAATTTCTGATAGGGTTTTCCAGGTCTTTTTTATATCACCTCGTAAGTTGGATAATCTGTTCTCATAATACAATTTTTTTGCCCTTCTTATCAGGCTGGTTAGGATTGACGAGTAACGTTTTGTTTGGTCTCTGGTTATGTGACCCATTCTGTACTGTTTTTCATATTGGTGTTTTGTATTTATGGATTTGAGAATGCTGGGTGTTAGCCAGGGACTGTTCAGTCTCTTAGCTGTCATCTGTTTAATTTTTTTAGGGCAGTGCTTGTTATAGAGGTATTGGGTCTTTTTTAGAAAATTATTAATACATTCGTCAATATCTGTATAGATTTCTAGCTCAGTGTGCCAGTCAATGTTTGCTACTGCTGTTGTGAAGTTATTAATGGCTGCCTCATTGTGAAGTCTGAAGGTGACTTTAGTAGTGTCTTGGGGTAATTTACCAAGAGTTGTTATGAGGAAAGTAGGGTAGTGGTCTGTGGTATTATCTGTAATTATGCCTGATTTTAAAGGGGATATGGTGTTGGTCCAGATGTGGTCAAGTAGGGAAACACTAGTCTCTGTAACTCTTGTAGGTTTTGTTACTGTTGGTAGCAACATACAGTTACTCGTTGTGTTTGTGAATTCAGTAACGTGTGGGTCCTGGTCTTGCAGGAGATTTATATTGAAGTCACCTGAGAGTAGTAAGTGATCTTTGTTCATGCGTGCATCAGTTATCATACTTCCTAGGTTTTGACTAAATTGGCTAATGTTTGACTGTGGAACTCTGTAGATGTTTATCAATGTGAGAGGTTTTTGTAGGTATTTGGATTTGAATTTGGCTATTATATATTCCCCATGTTCATCCCTTGTGCAAGTATTAGTGATACATTCTAGTTGGTCTGAGTAGTATATGGTAATTAAAGAGTTCAAACCCTGCCATATTAAGATCAACAGTAACAATTAATCTAGTTCAGCTATGCTTAACTAGATTAAGTCTGTCTCATTGTTGCATAATAGATTTTTTTTTTAAATAGATTGTGCTCTGATGTTAACCAGGATTCAGTTATGTATGCTACATCTAGTTCTGACAAGTAGAGGTAATTCTTTTAATGCTGACAGTAATGTTTTAACACTTTTTGCATGCCGGGTCATTAGGGTTATTTATTTATTTATTTTATTTATTAACAATTTGAGCATACATACAGAGGTACAAAAAAATACAGGTAAGAGCAGCATGCCAAAGCCACTTATACTATGAGGGGGCCATATCAGGTTTTGGTTGTTTGGAAGTAGTGCCTGTGTTGCTAATGTGATTAGTAAGTTTATTCAGGTATACACAAATACAGTTACATAGATTATCATACATAGCAGCATATGTGTAAAAAAATTAGGATAACCAAAAAAAGTCAGACAGAGTGACTTACTTCCACTGGGGCACTAGTGATTATAGGTGTATTGTACTTTATATGGTGATGGGAGCTCTATCCTCACCACAGGGTGTAAGTTTATTTAGGAACAGGTACAAATAAGTACAATTATCATAATGTAAATTACCTAGGATAACCACAAAAATGTCAAAGTGACTTATTTCCACTGGTGCTGATGATGGGGTTTGATTTTCCAGCACAACTGTGGGTTGTGTTAGCACTCGTGGTACAAGATTGTTGTAGCTGCTCTATCTTTTGAGTTGCCTGTGTATTGAGATATAAAGGAATTAAGAGTACCCATGGTGTTGGTGGTAAGGTGTTGACTATATCTTTAGTCAAATTTTATGTACCTGTGTGAAATTAACACCACCAGTTTGTCAACAAAAAAATAACTTCAGCTTTGAAAAATTACACATTTCAAAACTTATTACTTGACACGGCACAGGGTACATGAACTGATAAATTAAAAATATTACCAAATGCTCCCTCCCTCCATTCTTGGTGTTATTAGTGTTGGTGGTAACCAAGGCCAGCACTGTCAGTTGTGTTGTTTCCTACCATCCACCTCCCGGGGATAAGGCAGTTTTATGTACGGTTTACACCCCTTAAGGAAGGTTCCTTGACGATGGTGGGGGGCTCTTGATCTTGGGAATTGGATCTATGCCCCGGTTCCCTGAATTGAGCCTGAATACCTTCCATCACCCCCCTTCCCCCCAATATGCGCTGTATAATCATACGGGTTCAGCGCTCCCCATAATTATAATAATGTACAGTTTACAACTACATGAAGTAATAGTAATAATAATAATAATAATATATTTATTCCTACAAGTACATGTACAAGGTATACAGGCCTAGCTGACATCAATGACATACTATTAGAAAGCCCCTTGTTATGCAGAGCATTTCGGGAAAATTAAGTCAATTTTGTCCCAGGATGCGACCCACACCAGTTGACTAACACCCAGGTACCCATTATTGCTGATGAGTGAACATAGACAACCACTGTAAGGAAACACGCCCAATATTTCAACCCTCGCCGGGAATCGAACCTGGACCTCACCGTGTGAAGCGAGGGCTTTTGCCACCAGGCCACGGGCCACCGTAAATACGAAGTGACTAATATTCCTTTCTAGTGATGTAACAATGCACAGTTGGGTCTGACAAAGACCCAATGTGACCTCTGTAAGTGTAAATTACCCATGATAACTCCGAAAAGTCAGAAATCTGCTGCATTGTTTCAGGACTCCAAAAGTGAAACCAATGATACGCAACTTGGGTATCTGTAGACTTCAGATAACAGTCGGGACGTGCAATTTTGACCATCCAAATATATGCCGCGACCTCATGACCAAAGGAATATTCAGTTCTTCTTGTAAACTATCTCACCCTGAAATGTGTCATTCATCAGTCCAAGAAAGGCAATGTTACAACACATTGTCAAGCACACCATTGAAAGGGGACAAGAAGGTACGTGTCACAGACTTTGGGAAACAAACCAGGGTTTATCTGGAGAGAGTTCAGGGGGTCAACGCCCCCCCGTCTGTGACCAGGTCTTATGGTGGATCAGAGCCTGATCAACCAGGCTGTTACTGCTGGCTGCACGCAATCCAACGTACGAGCCACAGCCCGGCTGGTCAGGTACCGACTTCAGGTGCTTGTCCAGTGCCTGCTTGAAGACACCCAGGGGTCTATTGGTAATCCCCCAAATGTATGCTGGGAGGCAGTTGAACAATCTCTGGCCCCTGACACTTACTGCATTGTCTCTTAACGTGCTAGTGACACCCCTGTTTTTCACTGGGGGGATGTTGCATCGTCTGCCGAGTCTTTTGCTTTCGTTGTGAGTGATTTTCGTGTGCAAGTTCGGTACTAGTCCCTCTAGGATTTTCCAGGTGTATATAATCATGTATCTCTCCCGCCTGCGTTCCAGGGAGTACAGGTTAGTTACAACCACTCCAGAGAATGATAATTTTTAGCGCCAGGAAGAAAAAACTGACAGTAAATGACAGAAATACTACACTACCTCGGATCACTACGGGAGTGGAGGCACAGTGGCCCCTCCTCTAGAACAACATGCATCAGTGCCATCAAATAAAGCTCCACTACATACCATCCATACAATATCTGCATTTGCAAATATTCACTATATACAGGGTCTAAAACTATCAACAAACAACAAAATACCTTTTTATCAGTTAACTGCTCACAAACACGAGGAAATTAAATCTTCATCAGAGTACAAAACAAATTCTGGCCACAAAATAGAGCGAAACACTAACGTCAAAGACCTGGGAGTGATCATGTCGGAGAATCTCACCTTCAAGGACCATAACACTGTATCAATCGCATCTGCTAGAAAAATGACAGGATGGATAATGAGAACCTTCAAAACTAGGGAGGCCAACCCCATGATGACACTCTTCAGGTCACTTGTTCTATCTAGGCTGGAATATTGCTGCACACTAACAGCACCTTTCAAGGCAGGTGAAATTGCTGACCTAGAAAATGTACAGAGAACCTTCACGGCGCGCATAACGGAGATAAAACACCTCAATTAATTGCTGGGAGCGCTTGAGGTTCCTAAACCTGTATTCCCTGGAACGCAGGAGGGAGAGATACATGATTATATACACCTGGAAAATCCTAGAGGGACTAGTACCGAACTTGCACACGAAAATCACTCACTACGAAAGCAAAAGACTTGGCAGACGATGCAACATCCCCCCAGTGAAAAGCAGGGTGTCACTAGCACGTTAAGAGACTATACAATAAGTGTCAGGGGCCCGAGACTGTTCAACTGCCTCCCAGCATACATAAGGGGGATTACCAACAGCCTGGTTGATCAGCAGCAACAGCCTGGTTGATCAGGCTCTGATCCACCAGGAGGCCTGGCCACAGACCGGGCCGCGGGGGCGTTGACCCCCGGAACTCTCTCCAGGTAACTCCAGGTAAAGTCAAATGCCATGTTTGCAGCTTTCACAGAAACCCAGACTAAGGATCACTTTGACAAGGAAATATGGATCCCAGGGTACAATTTATTCCGATGCCACAGAAAGAATAGGCAACAAGGAAGGGTTGGCCTGTACGTCACAGAATCGCTCATTTGCTCGGAATTGCTGAACACCACAAATGATGTAGTTGAAGTTTTGGCAGTCAAGATTGAAAACCAAAACCTTGTCATTACCTGGAGAGAGTTCCGGGGGTCAACGCCCCCGCGGCCCGGTCTGTGACCAGGCCTCCTGGTGGATCAGAGCCTGATCAACCAGGCTGTTACTGCTGGCTGCGGCTGATCAGGAACCGACTTTAGGTGCTTGTCCAGTGCCAGCTTGAAGACTGCCAGGGGTCTGTTGGTAATCCTCCTTATGTATGCTGGGAGGCAGTTGAACAGTCTCGGGTCCCTGACACTTATTGTATGGTCTCTTAACGTGCTAGTGACACCCCTGCTTTTTATTGGGGGGATGTTGCATCTCCCCAATGAATGTGGATGTATACAAGCCACCAGATACAACTTCCCAACAATTCAAGGAACAGCTTTTGAAAACTGACTAAGGTGAGGTGAGGTTCTGGCCAAAGCTTTGGTAAGATGGGGAAGGAAGAAGGATGGGTAAGGATGGAAATATGGGAAAGGGTGGGGAGGGTTTTGGCGGGTCGCTAACCTTTGGAGAGGGCGTTGGTGCTCCTGCAAGCAGCAGATCATGGCACAACCTGCTGCTCTTTGCAATTGCTGTCTGACTGTCCTGCCGAGGACAGGCACCTAGCAACATCTATTGTTGGGGCAATGATGTATTCCCTAGAAACTTTGTTAACTGCTCATTACTCTGTAATTTGTTCATGATTGTAACCATGTATGGACGTGTTTATGATTCATTACCTTTGTAACTTGTCATGATTGTGATCAGCTCTACCTGGAACTCATTACCTTTGTAACTTGTCATGATTATGACCAGCTCTACCTGGAGCTCATTACCTTTGTAACTTGTCATGATTATGACCAGCTCTACCTGGAGCTCATTACCTTTGTAACTTGTCATGATTATGACCAGCTCTACCTGGAACTCATTACCTTTGTAACTTGTCATGATTATGACCAGCTCTACCTGGAGCTCATTACCTTTGTAACTTGTCATGATTGTGACCAGCTCTACCTGGAGCTCATTACCTTTGTAACTTGTCATGATTGTGACCAGCTCTACCTGGAGCTCATTACCTTTGTAACCTGTCATGATTGTGACCAGCTCTACCTGGAACTCATTATCTTTGTAACTTGTCATGATTGTGACCAGCTCTACCTGGAGCTCATTACCTTTGTAACCTGTCATGATTGTGACCAGCTCTACCTGGAACTCATTATCTTTGTAACTTGTCATGATTGTGACCAGCTCTACCTGGAGCTCATTACCTTTGTAACCTGTCATGATTGTGACCAGCTCTACCTGGAACTCATTATCTTTGTAACTTGTCATGATTGTGACCAGCTCTACCTGGAGCTCATTACCTTTGTAACCTGTCATGATTGTGACCAGCTCTACCTGGAGCTCGTTACCTTTGTAACTTGTCATGATTGTGATCAGATCTAGTTCATTACCTTTGTAACTTGTCATGAGTGTGACCAGCTCTACCTGGAGTTCATTACCTTTGTAATTTGGTCATGACTGTGACCAGATCTAG